CAAATACACACAGAACAAATGCCTCCAATGTTAGAAGGAGCCATCAATCTCTGCACCCGAGACAATGGCGATATAACACTTATAACACTATAACACACACAAAAAAAAAAGCTGTCGCGGTTCCATAGTTCTCTTGCTGTCAACAAACAGGGAGGCTGGAGTCGACCCCAGCTGCCATTGTTTTTTTTTTCTAATTTTAAAAAGATCTAATAATTTCCAAAAAAGCCGGGCACTTGGCTGTGCATTTTGTTTGCGAGTTGGTAGCAGTAGCAGTAGTGTCTTATATGACACTAGAGTGACACAATGTCAGGCTTGTTCTTTAAAGTTTGATCAGTATGTTTAATGTGTGCTGTGGTAAGCAGAAGGGGTGTGGTGTCCATTCCATGGTTGGAGCAGCCCGCTCCCTTCTGAGCATGTCTTGGCGCCAAATTACATCACCAGTGGAATATCTTAGCGCCCATTGGGATTTAGTTTAGTCTATTAGTATCCCCATTAATTCTTCCTGAGGTCCACAACAACCTATACAGTGACTGTGCCATGACATCTTACACTTCAAATCAACATAACACTAATAAACAGGTCAACATTCAATGTTGCAGCTTACAACAATAACAGACGTGACCAAAACATTAACACAGTCGCACAATAAGGACAGCTCCTGGCCACATGTTAAGATGTATTCAGTTCAGTTGAGAATATTACTAACAAATCATATTTATAAGTCGTTAATGTGTTCAACATTATGTCCACCCCTCATCAGCCAAGCGTGATAAAATCTAATTTTAAAGTCATTACTGGCTCTTCTGTCTCCCTTCACTTGTATCCGTGCCCACTGTCTCATCCCTCTGTCCCCCTTTAGCTGCCCCCCCCCCCCCCTTCGCCATCGTTCTACCAGCATCATTAACCCTGCTTGATGCTTGTTGCTTGTCTTTGCTGCCAGAGGCCACTTACACACACAAACCCAGTCTCCGATTAATATGTTCCCACTGAAAAAAATCACCGGGGATGACTATCAACTAGAACATCTACAAATTCACAGGTCAGGGCTATAATCAGGTGGTGCCACTTCCCCTGCTTGCTTCCAGTGATGGCCTGTTTAGTCATATGAGGGATTAAAATTAATCAAAATTTAAAAGCGAGCAAAACCTCTGAAGTTAGTAATCAGATAAGAGAAACCACAGGCACACAACTCCTTTTAGCAGCATAAAAAGGCTTATATAAGCTTCCTCAAGGGCTTTTTCACCTCTTATGACACTCATATGATGCATGAGACTGACTGGTTCATTGTTGCTGACTCCTAAAAAGTATGAAGAATAAGATGACTGACTTTTGACTGGAGTTATGTTTTGTTTTTAGAAAGGAGTTGCATGGGCTTCAAGTTATAACCATATGCAGGTTTAGGAATGAGGAAAATCACATACTGTAGTTTACAGGCGTTTTTTTTCTGGATAATTGGGCTGCATTAAGAGATTGTATCTGTGTTAGAGATAAAATATTATTACCCAATATCCACAATTTGTGTGAAGGTGGGGAGAATGCTAAAAGCTCAACAAGCCGGAATAAAGGATGAATAGTTTCTCCACCTTACCTGAAAATGTCACACCAGTTTGTCTACTGCTGTTTCTACGGACTGCTCTTCCTCAACTTTGGCCTTTGACCTGAAGCGTTGACACAAAGAGGTCAAGTCAAGTTGAACCGGCTCTGCTTCCCTGTATTCCGGCATGCAAAACTTGCACGCAGATTCTGCATGTGGGAGGTAGCTGCTGTTTGGGTCTTCAAGAGCACTGCTGTTATAATATTTCTGTGAAAGCGAGGGAGCAATTGCACAAAAATGTTGGACATTTGAAGAGGTGCAAAATGCTTTATAAGTAGCCTCCGAGAGAAATCAATACACCAGAAGAGTTGAAAATGTGTTGCAAGGGTTTTTTGAGGTAACAGCTTTTGAAATACATTCAGTACACTCGAAATCAGTCACTCAAATGACTTAGCGGTATCTATCCTGCAGGTAGTTGTGGTTCTTTTTGTATAGTTTATAGATTTTTGCAGCTGTGAGGATATTTTAAAGAAAATTATAGCAACATAATAATTTGTTCTAAAGTGTGCACAAACCTCACATTTAATCATTTCCATTTCAACTACTATTTACCCAAGCAGACATCCAGCAGTCATAAGGCAGAAGGAGCCAGGATTATAGAAAATAATGTCACAAGACCAAGTTCTCCTTAGGGCAGTCCAACTCTGTCACCCTGCCGCAGGGTATGTTGTCAGACGAGGCGACTGACAGCCTGATGCTAAATCAGCCTTTTTAAAAATGTTGTCCTCACCAAAGATTCTTGTGAGATGCACGTTATGGCATTCGAAAAAATTAAGGTTGTGAGAACTAACTGCAGAGTATAGGTAAAGAGGCAAATCATCTTAGATTCTCATAGAAGCTTCAAAAACAGAAGTTTAAACATCTCTTTTATAATATTAATCATTCCTATTTGGTATTTAGTAATAATAGATATTTGTAATTAGATCTGGTCCTGGTTCTCTGCAGCCCCGTGAGATGAAGTAAGTGGTTGTCCAGATTAAAGAATGAAAGGGAGCTTTCACAATCTGGCCACATAAAATGCTCTTATTTATGGCTTAAAAACTTATAAATAACATACTATGAAAGTATTTTTTTGTTGTTTTAATTATAAACCCATAAATGTCATTGCATTATTAAAAACTGGGACACGACTCTATGACAGAGATTGATAACTTTCAGAGTGAAATGAAGCCTGATGTCAGATAGGCTGTTTGGTCACTCAGAATCAACAACCTGTTTTCTCCACAAAGTATTTGAAGATTGCCACAGAAACCCCCTGAAGCTTGGTGTAGAGGCAGTATTAGTTCAGCCTCCTGACATGGACGCAACTCTCCCTTAGGTCACGTTGGGTCATGACATGACACAGCGTCGGGTCGTAAGGTTTACAAACAGGCGTGTTTGTCAAACAGAGAGAAAAAAACAAAAAAACAGAGATAGCAGCATCATCCATCTTTGTGTGCACACTGTGTGTCACAAGGCACAAGAGAAATGCTTCCACTTAACTGATCATCAAGATTACTGTCCTTGTGTCCGAGTTTGAAAGTCTTGCATCCGACTCAGAAGGGCTTTTTGAAATTGATTGAGGGATGTAGGCCAGCTGTCTTTTCTACACATTTTGTGTTGAATATATTTAGTCTCTGCATCCACCTCCATGCACCCTAATGTTTCTCAGTCTTCCTTAGCGTTCCCTGTTTCAGTTTGTTGACTGATTTGAAGCCCTGGAAATGCTTGTACTCCGTCTTAACCTGTGGTTTTAAGTCACAGTTGATGGATGTACACCTCTGAGTCTGGTTCAGCTCATTGCTTTGACCTGTCTAAAGGATGTTTTTTCTTACCACGGCTGAAGTGCTTTTTCTAGTGGATGAATGTAAGGTCAGTGGATACAACACAGCAAGGAGTACAGACCTGCCTTTTAATGTTAGGTGTCATGTGAAAGCTTTTGTTGTGATTTGTTGCTCTCGGAATAAAAATGAAAAGATACATTACTTGTACAAAGATTTATGACTTGCAGCCGACCCGGACTCTTTGTTTCTGTAAAATTGCACATAATGAATATTCTGGCTGTTGGTCAACCGTTGATTTCAGAGGTTTCACGCAATCCAGCTGTAGATCTGTGGTCTGGCCTGACCTCATGGCCCTGGAATGTATTCTTTGTGATAAAAATATAAAATGGTGGAATAACAGATCTTGTTTGTGATGGCAAGTGATGAAAACTGGGAAATCCCTGTAGTTCATATTGCCATGGTGGGTTTTTGGATTTCCATATTTGGCTTCAAATGTGCCCAAAGACTGGCAGATGTTTTTTTTTTTTTTTTTTTAATATTAGACACAAACAGATTCAGGTAGGAGGCTGGATCTGTTCAGCGAGATGATTAATGGAGGGTAGTTATACACACATCACATTGGTGCAATAATAACAACATTTCTTTCTTTTTTTTTAAGTGGCAAGCTTGCACACTTATTCCATGAAACACAAATATTTAAATATCCCAACATTTCAATCGCACTTTGGTCTTCATTGAGTGAAAAATGGAATCCATCCACAGTGTTTATTGGTTTTGCTCACCAATAAGATGACACACCCTTTTATGGCATGCAGAGGTGTGTCTAGAGATGGCCTGGGGTGGAACGGTCCCTCCACTAAATCTGGTCGCTATCAGAGCAACATTTGGGCCACCCCTATCTGTAAAGTCTGAACACACTTGGTTAATGGTTGTTCAGGTATGGTTAACCATTCAATCCACCCAGGGAGATAAATGTCCACAAACTATCATTCATTTACAATATACAAGAAAAATACAAATAAATAAATAATAATTAAAAAAACACATCACTAGCAGTCTCCCAACATTTCACAGACAGCGTATAGACAAAGCTCTACATGTACACTGATCAAATGTTTTGTTAAATGAACCTTGTTTCATGATATCAAGTGTTTATCTATATTGTATTTTTGTTGAACTAACCTTCTGCTCCGAATAAAAAAATCCCCTAACAATACTTAAAATCTGTGTACATCAATCAAACTCTATTGTAGCAGAAATATAAAGTTAGGAGACAAGATGGCAAAACAAATTCTCTGGAAAAAAAAAGTCTTTTTTTTTTTTTTTTTTTAAGTAAGGAGAAAGCACATGTCGTGCTTTCATTTTAACACAAGTAGGCTATGTATTTTTGATATAGTCGTGTGTCCAAGATGCCAAACAAAACACACGAAAAACGCTTGTGAAAAATGTAATTCATCGTAAACGAAGTGTTCATGTTTAACTCTTAAATATTTGAAGTCCAGGTGCCGTTTGCCTAATCAGCTTCATTGTTGTTACTTAGCCTGAGCGGCGTTGATTGGTCCAGAGGAGCTCTGATGTCATCGCCTGCTTTGATGTCCCGGCCAGTGCAGCAGCTCGCGCAGGCTGAAGCAGAGAAAGAGGAGCTCCAGTTGGAGTTGGAGCGCAACGGGAGAGACCCGTGGCCCTTGCAGTCTGTTTAAAAAAAAAAAGGCTGCCTTGCACTTGCCTGGATGAACCCGACCTGGTCCTACACTCAGCGCAGCAGCCCGTCATGGGGGACGGTGGCGCGTCCTCGCAGGTGAACCTCCAGAATGGCTCCGGCAGCGGCGCTTCGGACGCACCAGGCGCCGCTGCGACCGCGTCCGAGCAATGGATGGCTGGGATGAGCCTGGTTATGGGTTTGATCGTCCTGTTCATTGTAATTGGGAATATTCTAGTGATCGTAGCCATAGCCAGGACGCAGAGGCTGCAGACGCTCACGAATGTTTTCATCGTGTCTCTGGCCAGCGCGGACCTCATCATGGGGCTGCTCGTGGTGCCGTTTGGCGCCGCTCTCGAGGTGCGCGGCTCGTGGCAGTACGGCTCCTTTTTCTGCGAGTTCTGGATTTCGGTTGATGTCCTCTGCGTCACAGCCAGCATCGAGACCCTGTGCGTTATCGCCATAGACAGATATGTGGCCATCACCTCGCCTTTCCGCTACCAAAGCTTGTTAACCAAAGCTCGCGCAAAAACGGTGGTGTGCGTTGTGTGGGCCATCTCTGCGCTCGTGTCCTTCCTCCCAATCCTCATGCACTGGTCCCGGGACAGCTTGGACACCGCTTGCTACGAGGACCCGGAATGTTGCGACTTTGTCACCAACAGAGCGTATGCCATCTCCTCATCCATCATCTCCTTTTACATTCCTCTTCTGGTCATGATTTTTGTTTACGCCCGCGTGTACAGAGAGGCGCAAAAGCAGCTGAGGAAAATCGACAAGTGCGAGGGCAGGTTTCACAACACTTTAACAGGACAGACCTCCAAGTGCAGGAAGAGGCCGTCAAAAATCCTTGCGCTCCGGGAGCAGAAGGCGCTCAAAACACTTGGCATCATCATGGGGACGTTCACTCTGTGCTGGTTGCCCTTCTTTATTGTCAACGTGGTGCGTGTGTTTAGCGCGGAGGTGGTGGACAAGGACCTTTTCGTGTTCCTAAACTGGTTGGGGTATGTGAACTCAGCGTTTAACCCCATCATTTATTGCCGGAGCCCGGACTTCAGGAAAGCGTTCAAGAGGCTGCTGTGCTGTCCGCGGCAGGCCGACCGCAGGCTGCACATCAGTTCCTGCGATCTGTCCCGGTGCTCCGGCGGGTTCGTCAACGCTCTGGAGCCCGGGACGCTGGGGATGTGGTCCGATTGCGCAGTCTTGGACAACAGTGACAGCAGCCTGGTGGGGGGTGTGAAGCTGTCTCACTCTGAATCCCAGCTGTGAAAAAAAAAATCAAAAAAGAAAATCACTTTTTGTGCGGATTACAGACGATTAGTGGAGAAAAATAACACGGGTGTAGACTCTTCGAGGTGTCTCTTTGGGAAAAGGTTTGCGCGCCGTACCTTGTAGTTTGATGGGTACTATTTGGGTGTTGTGTGTTTTTAAAAGCCATATTTATCGATAAGAAATCAGGACACCATGAGCAAACCTCTGAATGTAAAAGAGACAATCCAATTAAGCAAGAAATATAATTCGATGGAATTCAGTAAGATGGGTGCATGCACTTAAAGCAGGACGTGCGCCCTCGTAGTTTAAACCTTTAATTGTTTTATTGAATCAGATGTTTTATGTTGAACTTTCGAGAGAAATATATTCAAGGGAACTATGTTTCCTTGGAATTAACCCCCAGGCCACTGTTTCTTTCTAAAAAAATGACCCATCGGGCGCACCGTAACAGACTGGTATATTTATTTATAAGCTTTGGACAGGCGCGACTGCACTTAGTCCTGTCCTGCTCACAATGTGTTTCACCGTTTTACCTCACGGCCATCGACAAGTGCAATTTGTACGGCAGGTATTTGTTTATATTAAACATTGATGTAAATAGAAATGTATTTATTCCACGCTGCCCTTTTACAGTTAAGAAAGTGCGCGTGGGCTGTTTCCCCACGCCCTTCGTACATATTAGAATAAGTGGAGTTTAGTACAGAAGTGAGGAATTTGAGCCTCTCTCTTTGTCCTTTAAGCTTTGCATACTGTTGTCAGGTGGTGTGTTTACTCCTGTGAAATAAAAGGAAGTTCCTTTGTTAACTGTTTGAGCTTTATTTGGATTATTAATGATTTACATCTATTGAAAACTTAAACCCCTGAAGAGAAGTATGTTTTTCCCTCTTTATGAAGGACCCTTCATTCACCATCAATAATGTGGGTTGCAAATTCCCCCACAGGTAAACAACCGCTTTACATGATTGTGCCATTTGTTGTGAAGTTGAAAGACTGTGTGATTGTTGGACTACTGAGAACAGCTGGAATGTCTGATTGGCCCCTGTGGAGAGATGAGTCACAAAAGGCTGATTTTTGAACCTTGGATTTCATACTCATTTATGCACAGTCCATTACTATGATCTAACTTTTTTACGTATTGGATCTATTTTCAGCTGTGCTTGGAAAGAGGTGTTTGATCTGCAATTTTAGTCCAAAAATACTGAAAGAAATACGCTATTATCGTTAGTTTCAGACTAAAAGCATTTACTCAATTACAGGGAAAACATGTTTGTATCGTTAAAAATGTTGAGGTTACATTACCGTTGCACATTTAAATGAAATTGGACTGTAAGTGGAATTAGTTTGTTGCACATTTACACTTCACCATAATTGTACTGTATTTTAACTTGGTTATGAATCACAACAAAAAACAGATCCAATGTGACTCTTGTGCATGTTCCCCCATTTAAACTTTATAAAAGGATTCTGCTGCAACTTTAACTTGCATTTTAACACTCTCAGTGACTGAGACAGAATGAGATAAATAGAGCTGAATATCTGGAAAAGCTAAGGGTTTTTTTTCACTTAAATACCAATGGATCCTACTTTCCCATAATGCAACTCATTTCCTCCTACACCAACAATCTTAACATTAAGCAGAATTATTTTAAACATGTATGTTAGACAGAAGACAAATGAAACATGGTGACATCCCTTTAACATCATCAGGGTTGTACTCTACACTTGGCCTCCCAGTAACAGATCATAGAAGCATTTTCAAACAGTAACATACGTTAAAGCTGTAAAGAATGCTTGTTTGTCATTTTTTTTTAACCTTAACCAAACTAGTTGAAATTGTTTGAATCCTGATTGGCTGAAATGTTTGTTTGTTTTTGATCTCTGCGTTTGGTCCATTGACCTCGCTCTAAAAGCCTACAGAAACCGTTTAAGTAAATATGATGACAGCTGTTGTTATGGAGTGGCTCCTACAGGAGTTTCTTCTTGGGAATATAAATTAGCAGTTAAGCTGCACGTCTTTGAAATGCATTAGCATGATGTGTTGTGCTAATGATGCTGTCCCAGAGGGGCCAAGCTGTGCATGACAATTAGACTGAGAAAACTGAATGAAACTGAGCTCAGCTGTTTGGGCTGATGAACATTCCCTAGATATGATTAGCTGAAATAATATGTGTGAATGAGACTCAGCTTTCAGACAAAAACAACAACAGCCGCAGTGAAGGAAGAATCAGTGACGGCCCCCTGCTGGCAAATGCCCGTTTCATTATTAAGCTCTGTCTGTTTTGGCAGGGTGTTTTTATTTGGGAGGATCAGCAGTGAGCTCGCAGATGGAGAAGCTCATCAGAAACTTCCAGAATAATGGTTTCAAACTGCACGTGTACAAGTTGGCGTTTTTGCCGCAACCAGTCAAAGAAGAGGAATTTGTATTACCTGGGATGACTGGTATAAATGGGCTATAGGGACAAGCCTTTCCTTCCTTATACAATAATGATGAGACAAAACATATAACATGTTGATGGAACATAAATAAGTCACTGAATAATTACAAGAAAAACATGCAATATCTCTCAATGGGCTTAGTTTTTACAGCCGATAAGCACTGTAGCATCCTCTTTCATTCACTTCCATAGTGTAAATGAGTGACAGGTGTCATGACACGCCCCTTTGACTTGCTGCCCATTGGGGTTAAATATCAACCTCCTTGTTTAATTCATGGAAGGAGAACAAGTTAGTGTGTTTGGACCGTAGACTGTGAATATCAATATGGAAGTATTTATTTTATTGTACTGAATTTCTTCCTCTTTAAACTTGACCATAGACATTATATATTTATTGTCCCTGAAACACAAGTGCATTTTACAAAAGCAGGTGCAACTCAATATACAATCGTTCACCGTCACATTCCAATAATCCAGATGCTAATGCAAAGAAACAAGCAGCAAACACAGGTCTGCTTAAATGTTGTCCTGTTTGTCATGTTTTTGTTCTTGTGAAGACAAAGACCATGTTCCTCCTTGTGGACAAATACATTTATATTCTTTTCTGTTCTGTTCTATAACATGGAATGAACCTCCTCCTGTCCAGACTCTGAATAATATCATCTCTGCCAGCCAACTCCTACTGCCATCTGTACTCGATCAATGACCGACAAAACCACCATAATCATGCAAAAGAAGACTAAAAAATCTGATAATTACACTTATTCTCTTTTCCAAGATATTTGTTCAAATGCCTTTAAATATGTTTTTTTTCAGGTACAAATACAGTGTAGAAAGAACAAAAGCCCCTCTGATTAAAAGTCGGTTCAAAATACATTACCCTCATTGCGCACCTTTGGTGAGCCAGAGGGTCAAATAAAGGACAACTAGGATAAAAAAATAAGCTCATTACTGCAGACATCTAGCTGAAATGTGATTATAAAAACATTATGAGGTAAAAAAAAAAAAAAATGCAAATACTGTCATTTTCTGCAGGAGGTAGATTTGAAGGGAGGATGTAGCAACACACAGGGAAAGAAAAACAAACTTCTCTTTAAAAAACAGAAATGTCAGCACCTGGGATAATTATTGCTGATTGCTGATGACGGCAACCTCCCATGGTCCATGCAGCGAGTCCATAGAGTGCTTTTTAGCCCCCATTTGGCACTGCTAAGTTGTGATAAATCTTTTTTTGTTGACATTGGATGTATCTATAAATTTATAGAGCATACATACCAGACAAACACTGTATTTGATTAGCCTGTAAAGCTATTTTTTTAACGCCAAGGCATGGATTAGGTGGACATTTAGTAGAAATCTTAGCTCAACAACATTTGAGATGTTAAGTTTACATCATGCCTAAATAATGAGCATAACCTCGAGGAGACCCTAAACTTGCACATGGTACTGATGCAAACCATTGATAAATCTTTCATTTGCTAATAATTGCCATGTAACCCTGAAAGAGTAAATTCCCCTGTGATTTTTTCCACTCTAACTCACACTGTGAGTGTTGCAGTTTCCTGCCAGAAGCAGGTGCCTTGTCCATTTGTTTGGATTCCCTTGTGAACTGGGCGCTCAGTGGCCTCCATCTGCTCTGCTTTGGCTTGCTTTGATTGTTGCTCATGTAAGAATTGGGCGACTGTGGTCCGTCATGTTCAGCGTTAAAGTTTTCCTAATGTTAATGGGTATTGACAAATATATGAACAAGAAACCAGATCCTATAGACTTCATAACACCTTTCATTAGCATATGCAATCCGGATGCTGCCAAGAAAGTAATAGCAGACATAGAGATACAACTTACTGGTACACCTGTTTTCTGTGAATTGGACCCAGAGATGCCACCTTATCGTTCTTAACCTTTAAAAACATACTACACCTATGTGTGCTAACAGAGATGTCGTCATAAAAATAAGCAGTTTCACGTTGGATTTTAATTGAAATGGGGCATACAGCTAGCCTGAATAAGTCTGAAGGTAGTGAAGTGTGAATCACAACTTAAATGTCTAATCTTGAAAATAACTTAAACAAATATCTGTAAAGCCCCTACAAATGTTTTAACACATTGGTGTTCGAGTTAGTGGCCTACTCATGATGGGGCTAAAAATTCATTTTAGGTACCAAAATTACTGCAACTGAACGACTACGGCCATCTGCAGTTATTTGGTTCTGACTAAAGTTGCAGGCAAAGAAGAAAATGGGGATGTTCAAGATTGTAATTTAGGATCTGTAGAAAAAAAGAGGATTTTGTGCCATATTAGCTAGGTGCAGACATAGGGTGCTTTTTTGTTATTTAGAAAGAGCCAGGCTAGCTGTTTCTGTTTTTTTCAGCCTTTGTGCTAGCTAGGCTCACTTAATGTGCTTCCTCATGATGAATGGACAGATCTAAAAATGATATCTTCCTCTAATCGTAGACATTAAAGCAAAAAAAAAAGTTTTTTAACCGATGTTTAAAGAAGCAAAGACAAAAGAGTAAGGCAATGTTATCTCAATAGACGGTCAACATGGTGGGATATGATTGTACATTTCTTGATCAAAGGATTTCTGTCTTTCACTCAGCTTGAAGAGATCTGACCACTATTCTTCCACATGGAAGCATTTTAAAGTACAGATGTTTGTAGTTTAGCCTTTGTGCACCTTCAGATCCTTCTAAAAGCCTCTTACTTTTAAACAAAGTCTTTGTTTTAAAGAACATTAATGACCATGATGGAATGAACAGTCCTTCACAAAAACATTGTTGTTGAGGAGGTGGACTTCACACACAGGATTAGCGGCTTTACGCTGCTTTAGCGGTGTTCAAAGCTCTCAGAGAGGCCGACCTGAGTCTAAAAGGGGAAAATTGCCCTTTTGGAAGACCGCCAACTGACATTTGGGGGTTTACCCCTCACAGTAAAGGCTAATGTGTCACAAAAGTAAAACATCACAGTGATTCATCAGATCCCCAAACCTTCCTCATCTCTTCACATGTTAATCTGCTGACCACTTTAAGTTCCTGAACATAGACTGTCAGAAAAATAACTTGGCTAAGGTCCAGAGTGCTAGGTGGGGTGATGAATAGAAATGAAATATGTTTAGTTTACAATAACCTACAAAATTCCTAATGTTTGGGTTTCCTTACTTTAGAATAAGCTTTTTAAATCTGAAGGGAGATCAGATTCTTGTCAGTTATTGTTATTTGCAGTTTTAACAAAAGCCTACAATGAACAAAACTTACACTGGCTCTTGGTATGTCAGGAGTTCCTGACCATCATAGGTTCTCCTTGGTCAGAAGAAGAGGGTGAAGAGGCTGCTTGCAATCAGCTATCTCAAAACTATATGCTGCTTAGGAGCGTTATATGGTTATAAAAATATGCACGTTTTCACTTGAATGTGTGAACAAATAGTGTAAGGCTTTTACGTGGAAATTTATGCACTTAAGAGTGTGCACTTGTCAGTGTTCACTTAAAAGTAAGCACTACAGAGTGTGTATATAAAAGTATGAATCTGCAAGTGTGCACATGTGCACTTGTCAGTATTCATTTGTGCACTTGAAACTGTGCAATGTATGACATTTTGAGAAACAATATAAGCAACCTGAAAGAGCAATTTGCAGCAAGGGAGTGCACAGCTTAGGCTGTTTTGCACATACAATGTAGCTCAACAAGAGTTCACATGTGACCACAGAGGGTGAGTGATGCTATTCCAAGACAGATTATGGGGAAGATTAAAATAAAAATGAAGTCAGTTTATATGTATTTATATGTGTGGCCTTGAAAGTAGTTTAAAACAGTATGTCTGTGTAGGTTCTCAGTCATCCAGGTTTTAGGATTTGGGCTTAAAACTTATGTGCTTGAGTGTGCACTTGAAAGTAGCCTATACACTTACTCATGTGAAATTGTGCTCTTGCTCTTTACTAATTAAAACTTAATGTTTTGTCTTTGGTTATTATGTAAGGTTTGTGAGTTAAGTAAAATACTCCTGAAAGTCTTAATTTAATTCTGATGTTTACGCAGTAAACTGAATTCTCTTATATTCATTGTGTTTTATATTCTCAGTTTGAATATGAACATTTGAAAAATAATATATTTGTTGGAAAGGGGGCTTTAAGGAAGTAGTTAATTGTTTTTGTTAATTAATGAAGAATCATTTTGAGTGTTTATTTTACATGCTAGAATTTCCAACACTATTTGATGCATTAACATTCACCAGAATGTAAGGAATTAAGTATTAGGTACTTCAAATTTAATTTTGTGTCTCTCCTGTTAGAATGAAGCCTGTTTTTCATTAATCACAACTGCTCTATTTTATCTATTTATTTTTGCCCCTGTCCCACTAACAGCCTGAGTTCGCCACTAGTTACAGTAATTAAAAAAATATAATACAGACACCTCACAGGGGCCGTAATGTACCTAAACACTAACCTGTTGAAAAGCCTTCTTCACGCTCAAGGCCCTCTCTTGCTGACTGTGTGCACCCAGCACTGACCAGAGGCTGCGACTGTGCTCTCGTCTGTACAGCATGAAGATAAAGAAGACAATGTCCATACTGCTGCATGTTATATAACTAAGAGGAGTTCTAGTCTATGCATCAAACTAAATGTAGTTAGTTTATTAATCCATTCACAAAGAGCACCTTGAATTATAAACAAAATCAAAATAATAGGTTTTTATGGTACCGGCACAGGGCCACTCAATTTCCTAATGATGCGTTTGGAGTGAGGGATTAAAACAATGTCATGTCATCAAAGCATTTCAGAGCAGTTCCACTCATAAGAGGCCTGATTCTCCAGACTCTGGATTCATTTAGAATCCTATACGCAGGAAATAAGCTGACTATGATTATCCTCATTATAGAGCTTAATTCATATTCAAATGTGTTTATCTTGCAGTTGCAGCTGTTACAGTGCCTCTCTTATGGTATATAAGAAAAAAAAGAAACAGGCTGGCAAGGTCAGACGTGTTATCTACACACCTTGAGAGCCACATTCATGGTTTCTGCTGCGTCTAAAAGACACAGGCGATGCTTTATGAATTCAAGGGTGGTCATCTATGCTGATAGGAGAATCCATTATCAGAGGGCTAAAAATAGCAGCAGTAATCATTGGCCTGAATTGGATACTTGAACCTGTCGTGTTCCACAGAGCCTGCAGAGAAAATGGCAAATTTCAGCCAAGCATGACAGGAAAGTCTAGGAGAGCAAACGTCTTGTTTTCCCGCTAAGTGGTTTGTTATTTTTGATCACGGAAGATATCAGTCGGCCTGTAGATGCCTTCAAATGCCTGCACATGTGCCCGCGTGGGAAAGAGGAACAGAGAAATGTTATACATGATGATTGATTTAGATGGGCGCAGATAACAGCATGATTGTTGTAAGGATGTTGTTCAAAACTGCTTTTATGGCAAGTTTGGATTCAGATTACAGGACGCAAAGACAGCAGGAAATTCTGCATTTGAAATCAGCATGGAATCAATTAATTTGATGGATTTTAAAGCAGAACATAAAAGACAATTCCACCTGACTTCGCATTGTAGTCCTTTTACACTGTCTGGTCGAAAAATAAAAACAACAACAACGAAGCAGAACCAGATATCTCTTTTAAGATTAATTTATCCTCCCCAGTCAAATGCTGGCAACTGAATTACCCAAAAAATGCAACCAAGTTAATAACCACTGAATGAAGTAGTTTGTGTTGTGTAGTTTAGTGTCCTGAAGACCGCTTGAACGAAAATTGTGACAATTCATCTTCTCTGTTGCATAATACAATTTAGTCATTTTCATTCAGAGGGTAGCGACTGGAGGCTCCATTAGCTGCTTCTAGCAAAACACACACAAGAGGGTCATATGGTAACAGCACGTTAATGTGCATTATAGAAGGGCCAGCCCTGATGCTGGGGGAATGTAGGCCTGAGGGAACATAGAACCTAATCTTGGGATAAATCCTTGAGGGAACAGCGGGATGACCCCCCCTCCCTCCCCCCCTCAAACAGAGATGAGCAGCTGGCTGTAGAGGTTGGGTAAAAGGTTTTCCTTCTTAATGCACTTCTCTAATCTTTTTTTCTTTATTAAACTCAAGTGACATCACTCGAGGCAAATATCTGCTTCCTTCACTCTAAGCCACTAAATGATTTATACATTTTTCTAGGATATGCAGCTGTACATTCACAGACTTGTAAACAGACGCTCATGAATAAACAGGATTCCCATCAACGAGTACTGCTCGTTTTTTTTTTGTCCTATAGCCTATTAAGATTTACAATATTTGGTGTTTTGGCTGCTTTTTAAAAACTGTGAAATAGAGATTCTAATGTCCTTTCCTTGTTAATAATAATAATAATAATAATAATAATAAATTAGTCTTATACAGCACTTTTCTGAATACTCAAAGACACTTTAACAAGGTATAACAACAAAAACGATTCCTTAAGACAATATGATGGGCATTTTCCAATACATTTTTATATCAAAGAAAGACAATCCTGGTGTTTTATTAAAATATGACTAAAATTTAAAGCTCCTGTGAGGAACTTTTAGTTTGTGTCAGACGAACCAAAAGACAAAATGTAACGTCTTACCTCTTTGCTGATCTTCTCCAGTATATGTATAAATTGTTTTCTCTGACGACTGTAAACGAAGTCTTTCTTCCGCGTGCTGTTAATCTCTTCGTCTGACACCTGACCTGCAGCAGTGTTTAGACATTTAAAGTCACTTAAAAAGGAACAACCAATGTTACTTCTTGACTGTCTTTTTTTGTAGCTCTGCCTCCTAAGAGCATCAGCTTTAGAATTCATTTCAAAATGTTCCGAAACCAGATTAAAAACTCCAAACAGGACATTTATGTTTTCATTCTTACAAAATTAGGTCCCCTACCCAAGAATGATGCTTTCACTTGCCCTGAGATGACAGGTTGCAGAGGAAAGTTCGCCCTTGAGTATTCCCGTAGCGCCGGGTTTTAAATCATCTGCTGAGTGACAGTGGCGCAGTGATGTTCCTGACCTCTAGCAGTGCTGACGCCGCTGCTTTTGAAAAAGGGGACCTAAAGTACAGCTGCAGAACACATCCCACAATGTCACTGTGTGAGAGGTCGTCCGTGTAGAAATTCCTTTTCACCTTAAATATACTTCATTCCACTGTCACTGAATAACAGAAGTCAAGCAAACACATGTTATTGTTAACTTTACGACAAATACTAAAAAAAGAAAATACGAGACGAGACCACAGTGGAACATTCAAGAGAGAGTCACGACTCATCTCCTTTAATTCCCTGGAAACACCATATATACAAACATAATCCAGAATCAGTTATCTTTTTTTTAAAAACATCTCATTGTAATTTTACAGATAGACTTATTTACAAATGTATATTATAATCACAGTCGGAATATTTCACAAAAACAGAGCAGGGGGAAACATTGCACAGGAGGAAGGAAAAATAAACATGGCATCACGTTTTGACACTCACACATACTGAACACCATTTTCTTCATTTCCATATAGTGAATCAAGACGTTTTTGGGATTCAATCAAACACACAATGCTGCAGCATGGCTTCATTTCAAGGCTTGGGAAATGTAGGAAATCTCAGAATCAGCATTGTTTCCCCAAGCAGACCAAATCAGAAGAAGCACATGAGCGTGCCTCAGAGAATGATCAAGAATTTAATTAGGAAATCCCATGCGGTTGTTTTGCATAGGTTGGATTTTACTTCAGCAACAGAAACATTCTGTAAAACACAAAACTGCTCCGATTTGTACTTTCTTTTCAGCATTGTTAAAGATGCATGAAAGCAGTAAGATGCTGTGATAAGATGATAACAAGCTGCTGGCTTAAAATAACAAGCTGCTGGCTTAAAAGAAAAATGTAATAAAGTGTAAAGTTGCATCCTTCTCTAACCTTTCTTAGTTTATAAGGTTACTAAGTCTCAATATTACAGTAAGTAGATAAAGATATCACTTATTAGAGAGAAATCAGTTTGGGTGAAATAAAAGTGGAGGTACATCAAAAAGTGAGTGCCCGACACAGCAGCAGGGAGGCTCATGGTCTCTGTGACCTCAATCCAGGAAACTTTCATCTCTATTTATCACATGGCGGGCCATTTCCACATCGCCTCAGGGTGTACAGGAAGGGGAATGGCCCCAGAACCATTCATGACCCACAAAATCTCGTTTCTGATTTGGTGGGTGGGGGTGGAGGTTTATCTTTTGTGGCGGATTCTGAGGTCAAGATCAAATCAAGAGCAAAGAAAGTTACATTTTCGTTGAATCAAACGTGTAGTCGGTGCTGAACCCTTCTTCCCCCTGTGTGTGTGATTGACAAAGCAGCTGTGCTGTGTACTGAGCTGCAGGTGTGCAGGTGTGTTTATGTCGCTGCAAACTCTGGTCTAAATTCAAATCATGTTTACCCCTCCAGGTGTAACAGTTGTCATGGTCAAACTGGTAAAAGCGTACAAGCCTTGACAGCTGAACCATGTACATAAAGTGTAAACTCAACAGTTCCAGAGATTTAAAAAAAAGAAGGCACACATGCAGCCAAGCACACACACACACACAATTGGGACACTTAAATATTCATACTTGCATGCTGCATGTACACAAGCATAAAAACAGACATATGACAGTATACTGGCTCACAAACACATTCAGAAATAAAAAGATAGAGACAAAAATAATAAAGGAACAGGATTGCACTTTGTCCCTGGACATATTTCTGTAGGTTCCATTGGCTTACCTGAGCTACAGCTACAACTTCTTCCATTCTCTTTACACTGCAACAGAATGAGTGGCACTACCGAGAGAAATAAAAAAAAGAAAAAGAAAAGAGGAGTGTGACATGAAAACCCAAACATTTTGTCTCCTCCTCAAACAGATCTAATTTAAAGTTTCTACAAGCTACATGTTAGCATGTCTGGACAAAGGAAAAGTGATGATGATGATCTGCTGCTACTGGGGAAGCTAAAGCGTAAATATTTAGATGCTCAGGTTTTTGATTTTATGAGATTTTTTTGCCCGCAAGAGAATTTAAATAGATTGAAGTGAACGAAAAAAACCTTGACTAAAGACTCTACGATCAATAAAGATCAAAATGCCTCATAAAAGAAAAGAAAAACTGATAATCTAACAATTTCAAATAAAAATCTAACTTTTAGCAAAAAATAAAAAATAATTAAATTGCAAAAGAACTACATTCAAAATGGCCACATTTCTACATTTCCACATGCACACGATATATTTGACGCAGATTTTCTTTAAACACACACAGCTGAACGTAAGGATACTTCAACACAGATGGCATAGTAGTTGGACTGCACTACAAGAACAGAAAGTCCCCCTTCTTCAGTGTAGCACCGGTGTCACACAGATGGGTGGATCTGCTAGTGTGAGGCACCTTTGCTTCAGCAGCTCGTGAGCGAGTGCTGTGCAAAGCAGAAGTTGATGAAATATGCTCAGGCGGCACAGAGGTCCCTGTGCTTGCTTTTTTTTCCCCACCACATATGGAGCGCTGCAGAGAAGCAGACTAAAAAAAAAGAAAAAAGACTTGACAGATGGACATGGGAAGGAAAGGGTAGAGCGCTTGCTGGGCGATGATTACTTACCGCCTCTTGGAGCATTGAGTAATTTCAGTAACAAACGTCTTTTCTTTTCTCTATTTCTTGGTAGAATTTGCTCTACATTCATTATAATGGCATCTTCAGTCAATTTACAAGGCAGACAAAGTTCCAAGCTCGAAGCAACTGACTCGTAGAGGTTTTTTTTTTGTTTTTTTTTTAGATCTTGGCAAGGCTCAGGAGAAAGTTAGCCAGAGGAAGATTTGCTGTGCAGTGGGAGGAAACAGAGTTGCTTCAATGTGGATGGAATGATGAAAGTTCAAGTAAGTTCAGATAATGAGGTACTCCAAACACGAAGCCTGAGGAGCTACTGGCTTTTACAACATTCAATTTGCTCCCTCAAATGTTGGGGAACAAGCTTCTCATGGCGAGTACTTCCTGGTCCTTTGTTTCCTCTTTCCTGTGAACGGGGTCTCCTCACTTCCTCCTCGCGTCATCCTCAGGACCTCTCTGCTGTTTTATGAGCCTCTCGATCTCGGCCCCCAGAGTCTGCAGATTCTCCTGTTGAGGGAGAGGAAAGACTTAAGACTCCAACACAACATTTAAGGGATTATAAATGAGAAGAAGTGTTGTGCTGTGGCCGTACGGCAGTGATAAAATGTTTATGAGGCTCTGTGAAGACTGTGGTTGCAACTTTGAACAGAAAATGACAATGAAGACTCCATCCATCAGAGTTAAAGTTAAGTCCTAATTTGCCTCTGCCAGTGCCTTTTGTTTTATTGTCATTTTATTGTGCTCATGTCAGTTTTGTATATAATTTCTTCCTGCTTAATGCCAATCATTTCTCATCCACAGATAGAATGTTGCAGCCAGAGATACTCCCACATCACAATTTATTGTCTCATTAAGGTTTTTATGGAGTGCGTCTTAAGGGGAAGTTTGACACAAAGACAATTAGGAGCTGCTTGTTTTGCAAAAATAGAACATATAATTATCAACGCATCTAGTGTAACAATTAAAACCAAACTTCAAAGAGGCTGCAACAAAACATGAGACACGTTTGGAGGGCCCTCCTTGTTGATGTGTGCACTCTAATACAAACATTTTTCAGAATCAGAAGAACTTTATTGATCCGTTTAAGAACTGTTTGCCGTCTTTCATGTTGATTCTGTCACTCTGTTTGGAGGAGCTCACCCACCCGGTGTATTTGATGTAAATTTACAACGACTTTGAAGTTAACACACTAACTTATATAACATTTTGATTAACCTACAACAATTCGGAATTAATCATTTAGGGTGGATGGGGCGGGGGGGCAGGCAGCTCTAAGAAGAAGAAGCTGTACTAAACTCACACAAGGAGCCACATGAGGAGAAATAGTGTGAAAGTAGGTTTCAATCAACTATTTCAGGTCATAGACTAGTCAGAGAGAAAAACATGTCAGTGGGGCACAGCGTCTTTTCTTAGCAAAAACATCAATAATGCAGCTTCTGTATTAGATCATAGTTTCCGACACATCTCTCTTTCAAGAGTGTGTGACAACAAATCTGACCATCACAGCGTCCTCACAGGACGGTCAGTCTTTCAAATTAAGTGAAAAGCCAACTTCAGACGCTGAAACACAAGCTTTACCTGACTTTAAAGGTGTAGGAGACATAACCAAAATGTCAGATTACCCACTGGACAAATAATAACAGCAGGTCTGACATTTCCTGTGACGCTTTCATCCACAGCAACACTGTCAGAGTGTTAGGACAGTACATGATTACCTTTCACTTCTTGGAAAAAAAACATGATATTTTAGGGACTTAACAACCAAAGTCCCGAAAATATCACGTTAAAGAATGAAAAATGTTCTATTTTACAAGAATGAGTTCTTTGCCAACAAAAAGGCTTTGAGGAAAAATGTTGAGAAAAGACAATGAAACACAAAATGTACAAGTCTGTGAAAGGAAGTTATTTGAGATGTCTGCAAGCACGCGTTTAAAGTGTTGTAGTGTCGAGATGTTCCTTGAGTATTTTTAATGACAAAAATAATCTTCAGGTGAATGGTTAGGGGAAAGTCAAGCACAGTCAAGTAGTGCATAGAAGCATTAGTAACTGCTTCTTAAAGGCTGTGTTCACACTGCATACTGTAACGCTCAATTCTGATTGTTTTTATGCTCAGATCAGATTTTTTCAGTGTGGCCGTTCACGCTTTTTAAATATAGCTTTTATCGGTCTCCTGTGTGATCTGGTCACAGTCCTGGACTGACCCACATGTGCAAAAGAACAACCACAAACACATCACACGCAGCACTGTGTGAACATCTGACCTGCGTGTGGATTTGGATCCACATATGAAAGTGGCCCAAATCAGATTTGAGCGACTTCCATACAGCCAATGAGGCCGGAGCGTGATCACTAAATCATCGTCAATCAAGTATGCAGCATGAGCTGTTCATACACTGTGCAGGGGGGCAGTAAAGGTGGTCGTCAGGGTTTCTGCACTCTCCTGGAGCAGGCGTAGGGTGGACGTTTTTGAGTCAGGAAAAAGTAAATAATGAGTTTAAAAAACAATAGAAAACACCTCAACTTTGTCAGTCAAAGTGGAGGCAGTGGAACTGTTATGAAGTGAGAGACCATTGAGTTAGAAATACTGAATTGAAAGATTGTCTGATTTTTGTGTAGTGTAGCATATCTAACAACTGTAAATCTACAGAACAACATTCACTCACACCATCCCCTCTCTCTTTGGATTTGACCAACCATGTCTTTTTTTCTGTACTGATTGCTGCTCCAATAAGTTTAAAAGTCAAGTCTAATCCAAGGTGCAGAATTGCATTCACATGGTCAATTCATATTTCACTCAGGTGGTCTTGACTGATGCAATTACATACTAAATTACATCACAAGAGGGTTCTGTAGGAAACTGCATCTATCATCAATATCACCCAAGTATGTCAATCAGTATTTTCAACTTTTCAATCTCTCAATCGAGGCAGCATCATGTCCGCCGAGGGAGGACCTACCTTCAGAGTGATGTTCTTCAGCAGTGTGTCCTCCAACACCGCCTGCAGCTTCCTGTTTATCTCCAGTGACAGGTCCAAGGTCAGCCCGCTGTCCGCCGGGTGGGAGGTGTACAGCGACGCCATGATGCCCCCTCGCCTACTCAGGTTTGCCTTGTTAATGTCTGACGCCTCCGACGAGAGGGCCCCTGACTCCTCTCTCAGCACATAGCTTTGGATTATTCTGTGGCGAGGAAGAGGAGGAGATGAGTCAAACGGCATGCTCAAAGAAGGAGGAGGAAGGAAACGAAGTGGCAACAACTGGCGAGCGAAAATTGAGAAAGTGGGATTTAAAAGGTGGGAGCGTGAAGAGCTCCAACAGAGCAGGAAGAATTGATTCCAGCGGAAGAAACAGAGGATGTTTCCAGAATACTAAATCAAGTGGAATTGCTCCTTGAAATGTGCATGGGATGCATTTAATCAGAAGGAGCTGCAGGGTTCAATTTAAGCAAGATTTTATACTATTTTTTTTTATGACTTCTCTTTTTTCCATTTCAACAAAGAAAATGGCTATTCAGTTCAATTCATTGCTACTCATCCCAGCCCAGTAAACACCAACATCAGTGTGCTGTTTAATTATAGGAGTGTCATTAATTGCATTCCTCCTCCATTATTACCTATAACTTTGAAAAAGGTGCAGAGGCCTGTGCACAGTCCTACAAAGAAGGTCAAAAACCTCCTGAAAGTCCCCTGAGACGGCTCAGAAATCAATAGTTTTCACCTGCCCTCCACACAGCTTTACAACTAAAGAGCTAGACCTGAATACCGTGACAAAATTCATCCCCACGCTGCCTTTGTGTAGTTCAAATTCAGCACGTGTCTAAGAAGGATATTATGAAGAAGGAGAAGATGAAGGTGGGTATCTGCAGGATGAGCTTTGTGCAAAGGGACATTCCTGACCGTAAGTGAGATTCTGCGGGAAGATTTCCACAGGGAGAAATCAGCATTTTTCTACAAAGTCAGTGATGGCCTACTTGTGGAGGAAAGCACCCAAAAGGCTGCAGTTTGTACAACTCAACTACTGCTGCTACAACAACTACAATTACTTCTACTACTATGACTAAATCTACTACTTCTACTTCTAATTAACTGGATCATTATCTAGCTATTAAAACTGGGATAAAAACAAAAGCAGATATACAAACAATAAAAAGGAATAGAAATTATTAACCTTACAGATTTCAAAATTCAGAGCTGAAATTGTCTTTTTTTATTGAATGTGCTAAATAAATCTGCCCTGTGATGATTTTTCATATGACTGGAATAATTGTTGGAGTCTAATTTTTTTTACTACTACTTAGAAGGCTTTCAATTGTTGTGAAAGAGATCTCTGAAGGGTTGAAACATGCAAGGGACTTCTCTTTAAAGACAGAGTATGTACCATGCATAAATGGAGCGAAGGTTGTGAGTTATTGCACATGCTACTGGGCATGCAGCCAGGGACCCTTGTGTCCCAAAGCAAGAATAAAGATATCAAAAGTGCCAACTATAAGAGAAGGGAGTGAGGAAGAGTGAAACCAGAAGTAATGCATGCATTTTAACCACTCATACTGGGACACTGTGTTTACATCTTATCCATCTTTTCTATTCTTACACAGTTAAGGTGTTTTTTTTTTTGTGTATGTATCATAGATCTCTCACAGAATAAAGCACAACATCTATACACTTCATAAACCTAAAACTGTATTGTGCAGAGTTAGCACTATAAACCAACAGAGAAATATGTCAGTGGTGCAAAAAATAGAATGAAATGAAATGACACAGCAGCTATGTAAGCAAACAAAATCCCCATCTGCACACACAGACTAACACACAGAACACCTGAGCTTGCACCGACAGAAAATGAGACTTACCTCTGACTAGACTTGCAAGGGTCCATATTTGGACCCCCGTCCCATCACGCAAGTGTTTAGTAAAAACAAAAAAAAGTGACAGAAATTAAAGATGTGGCCACACGGGGTAGTGAGTGGCATGCGTGGGCCGGCGGGTGGGGGAAGGGATGTAAGCAACAAATTGGAATCAGGCATGACAATAACTCATATAACACCTATAGATATGTTTAGAGTTGTATTGTTTGTATCTTATTATTCTCTATGGTTTGTTTCTATCTTATTCGATTGAAGTTTCTTGTAAGTAGGAGTGTTTCCCTACAGCCTTTATATTCGTTTTATTCTACTTCTGTGATCATTCATTTCACATCACGATAAAAAAAAAAGGTCAATTTGGCCATAAACCTCACTCTGATTTGAACTTTTTGAGTACCAATTCATTTTAATTTCCAGTTTTGAGAGTTCAAAGCAATGAAGGTGGCAGCACAGGCATGCATGAAGTGAAGGGGGCATTTCTGGGTACAGTGGCAGCTCCACAAGGTGTTCTATCTGAACATAATACAAAGCCCTGGTGGATAAATGTGGTACAGACGCAGGGGTATATTATACTTATCATGCACACATAAACAGGGAAAAGCCCAAAAACTTAGAACATCCTTTTTATATTGAGGGGTTTTAGATGCTCCATGTTCAGTTGTACATTCTTGATAAAGCTGAATAAGCCTGAATATGTCCTCTTTTTATGAAGCATCACAGGCACTACTTTAATTTCCAAGCATCTCCAGAAACATCTGCCAGTGGGTGCAGAAATCCCAGTTAACCTTGAAGGGGTTCCATTATAATATATCCTGACCACATTTAGCAGATGCAGATCCATAATGGGCTTCGCCAGAGCCTATATCGCTCCGCTTCAACGTTCCCATTGATCACAATCCTAACGGAGTGAAAGAGATGCTCTATTGATAAACACCTCCCTCCTGCAGCTTTGTCCTCACGTGCTTCATACCAGCAGCATTTTAATTCAAGTCAGATGATGGCAACATTAAGGTTTAACGGTCATAATAACCAGGTGTGGGAATTGAAGGACAGACATCATTGCCTCTAAAGGATCCTTGCGTTTCTGCACGTTTTAGCTCATTCACTACACTATGCGAGCACTGCGGTCAATGACCTGATGATGACAGCACATGTAACTTAATCACACTAGTATAGGGGATAATTTGATCCATTAATGATCCGGAATCAAATGTAAATTCAATTAAACTGCAGATTTTATAATCAGGTTGTGTTACTGTGTGAACTACAGTTTTTATGTGCAGCTGGCTTTGGACGTGACAGAATTTGAAGCGCTCTATTTGGATGTTTCTCGTCAAAATGCATTTGAGAAGATTTACTTTCTGGAAATAGCGCCTCCCACTTTAGAGCTCTATATACTTTGGCAAATCGCAAATAAACATGAGATGTAAATGGTTCCAATCCTCATGCAAAAAAAAAAATCACAAAAAAAGAGTGGAATGGGTTTGTTAACATAAACCGAACATCAGCGTATTGTTTTCCTTTCTCAAACTGTCCTTCTCATGAGACCTTCTAAGCTTCTGTTCCACATCTGTGTCTCTTTCATTTATCTCCTGCTTCAGACTTACAGTGAGCTCATCACCAGCCTGTCCTGGAGGGAAAGGGACAGAAAGGACAAATTCACATTCTGGGTATTGAAACACCCCCCGCTAAGCAGAGATCTTTTAGGGAGCTAAATTTAGTCCAGCAACCGTGGGATTCGTCCTCAATCCTAACTCTTGAATGTAGGTTGCGGCTAATGAATTTAATCTGAGTGTAGGGCTTGAGAAACAAGAAGTGGGATGATCCGAGAAGAATTAAGTCGTCTGTTGTATCTGGAAACCAGAGTCGAGGCGATGCAGAGCTTAAATGGAGTGATCTATACAGATCAATAACGGAGATTTCACAAATTTTGCCCATTGGAGAGAAATGTTTCTACGTCTTTAGAGATTATTTTATGTAAAAATCTCATACCCAACCCCATTTTTATCTTGGCATTGGCCCATAATTCACTTCAAGGTCTAGCCTAAGTAGGGAGAGTTATGATGTCTTTAAGATAGTTGCGCCGGCCTTCACACGGTCTCTGTAGTTTGAGAGATAGCCATGAATATGGATGGAAGATTACAAAGGATCCATAAAAATGCATCTGGATCGGCTGGACTATAAATAGCTCGGACTGAACTTTGTTATGAATAAGAATCGCAGAGTTTGCATGAGTTAGACACTAAAGAGGAGACACAGTGGGATGTAGGGGGCCGTAAACCGTGTGTGTAAGCAGATCCTGTCTTACAAGGTCAGCTGAAGCACTGAAACACACGAGTGTCATATTGTGTGCTTTAATATTTAAGAAAAAGTTTCTTCTTAGAATACATACATTGCATTAAGATTAACTTCTTGTTTTTATCTAAAAATTCTAACCAGCTGCAAGAAAGTGCTGTCAGTAGGTGCTACACTGGAGTGGCTTTGAATGCGATCATCTGTAGTGTTGCTACATTTCTTTGGACAACTGACGAGTTGTCGTAAAGTATTTTGAACATTTTGGGGGTGAGAAAGTGTCCTAGGGAGTGAGGAGTGATCTTTGCATTTAGCTGATAAAATATTCAAATCAATGCTTGTTGGGCTTCAGTTTGAACATATTTTGTTTTTAATGTCTTATTTTTGGTGAATGGGTTTTGAAAGGTATTTTTTTCCCCTTTGTAAATCACTATAATAATAATAATACTTTTATTTATATCGCGCTTTCAGTCAAAGTGCTATACTATACAGTAAGTTGCTTTTTGTATGACAGGTGATCTAGAAATACACTTTTCCTGCCAACACCTCTTTTAGTGCATCTGTGCAGGTACCAGTATAAAGAGTGTTTAGATGTGGTGGTGGAGCATCCTGAATTTAGCTGAAGTCTGCTGAAAGGATTACAACCTCTAGCAACACTGCACAACTGTTAGATTAAAAAAATAAAAATGCTGAAGCAGCTGAAACACTGTATAAGACATTTTCTCATGTTTGCACTGATTTTTGAAAGAGAGTTTAACATATGCAAATTCAGTCGCCAGGGGGGCTGTCAAACAAAACAATAACAAAAGCTGATGTTGAGGCTAGCAGGGAATCTTGGGAGGGATTCTCTCTGCTACTCCAACCCAAACACGGAAGGAAAACGAACTCAGAGTTAACCGTAGTCAAGACGAACGGGCGAAACAGACCGGAGGAGGAGACGTTTACAGACGAGATAATGCACCCAAGTATAATTTACATACATACAGCAACAGCAGGGCAGCTTTCAGTAGCAGTTCCTGCTTCCGTATGTAGCAAGTCTTCACCCAGTGTTTCCATGGCAACGATTAAAAATGTTGTGTCGGTCATGTCATTGCGGCCGACACGTCCCGTAACAACTCTAACGTTAAGGATTTCTCTGGCTTTGATAAGTGTTGGAAATATTTGAGTGAATGCAAGTACTCAACAACAACAATATACTTTACATAGGATTTATCATTTTTTATTTACTTTGGATATTTTAGTGAAAAATGTCTACAAATTGTATCTTTAAAGTTTTGCTTACATTTTGAATCTAGCTTTTGATTTGGAGTTATTGTCTGAGTCAAAGTTCTTATTTCTTTTTTTTTCCTTTTTTGTATATATTTAAGCTGATTTGACTTTTCACTTATTGGATATTTCCATTTTTGAGATTCATGTTTGTAGTCTTGAATGGCTTTATTCTTTAATTGCATTACTTGCTCATGTTTTCCGTCTGTTCTGCTTTCTGTCTGTGTAAGAGGTGGTGTGTAAATAAAGTTGAGGTGAGTATGTATCTGTGCTCATCCACTGCCAAGTACAATCAGCCCCCCGCTGGATTCCCTTCATGGAAGCGGTTTGGTCAGAGAGTGCACACTGCAGTAAAGAAATGTGATGAGAAGGTCCCTGTCCCCTCTCGTTCTCTCTCTCTCTCTCTCTGTACTCTGCTCCATGACACTCACTTTGTCTTTTTCCGGATCTCCTCCACCAGCTGCTTGATGTGATCCTCCATGAACTCGATTTTTTCCTGCTTGCGAGCGAGCGCCTTCTGCAACCGGACAATACGATCCACGAGCACGGTTTTGTCGACCTCTGGGAAGCTGTCCACAACCACGACTGAAGGACCCGACTGGCTCTCTGGTGACCGCTCATCGACACCGCTGCTCCCACCGTGGCGAGTGTTCAAGGAGCCTTTGGGAATTGAAGCGAGGAGAGATTGATATTAACTTAACATACTTTCTTTTATGTTGTCTTATGAGTTTTATAGATAAACATCCACTTTAGTAGGCAAATCTATCCCACCAAACTTTATAGGAAGAATATTAGAAAAAAGTATTTTCATTGTGTTACTTCTTTGTGTGTTAAATACTAACCAAATCCCGGAGCAGTACCTGAGGAACTTGAGCGGCTGCCCATACTGCTGGCATCCCGGTCACAGACTCCATTCTCAGTCTGCTCCAGTTTCCTTCGAGCTGCAAGAGAGGTGAAAACAGACAACTGTCAAACAAAGACATTATAACCAACAAGAGTGTCATTGACATGATCTGAAAGTTTGAGACACATGCTTTGAAAAATAGCTGTCTCTATCTTTAACCCCTGAATAAGACTTCAAGTTTGTAAGAACAAAAAAAAAAAGGCTAATGAGGAAATTCCATTTTTAGTATTTTCTCTTCATAGATAACTTGATTTTGAAAAACCAGCAATGCAGAAACTAATGTAGAAGAAAGAGTCCTTAAAAGCACAAGGAAAGTCAAAGCTAAGCATCATTATGTTTTCATCACAGTCTTTCTCTGTGAAGGTGTCCACCTGAATTAGTGTTAACCAGGTTTGCTTTTGAAGAAGAGTGCGTGCTCAGCAAACCTTCTATGCATAAACACAGATGAACGTCTTTGCTGTAGTTGGAAATGCAACACTGATGATGAATAATCACAAGCTCTCTACTGATATAAATGTCTTCTGTGTCAAACTAAACTAGCAAAGCTTATCCATGCAAGATAATGGAGGTGAACTGTATGCCTTAAGGTGACTGTGTGTACCCTGAGAGAGAAGCAGATGGAGCTGGATCACTTTAAGAATGCTAGACAGAGAAAAACATGAGCTCTTCTTACAACTCATTTATGTGCACACTGTCATGTTGTTTTGTTACAAATCAGCCTGACTCTAACTGGTGTAACCTGATATTAAACCCTGAGTGTGGACAGTCTGTCTGTCATTTGTGAAATCAAATGACTGACCAATTTCAAAAATGAGAAACAGAAATTTTGCAGCAGGTTGTGCTTTTCTCTCAGTCATTTTGAATCTCCTAAAAGCCTCAAGTGAAACCAGTTTTCTAGGATTCAAGTAGGACTGCAGAAAAGATATTTGGACAATGGCTGCTTATGACAAACAGAGAGGTTAAAACACCTGCACGCACATTTTCTCAGTTCATTGCAGACTCTATGTCCATTTCATATACGTTGAATCAAAAGGTTGTACTAATCTTTGATTGTCAATTGGTTTAACAGTCTACTGTCTTTAAACTTTTATTGAATCTGGGGAAGAATGGTGAGTTCATCAAGACTTTTGGTATCAAGAAAAATAGACGCTCTTAAGGTGTAATCCTCCGTATCGGCTCAGTAAATATTCAGTACTGTACGTGTAAAATATGCTGTAGAGGAACTACTGGAATTCCCTGCAAGGCGTTTTCCTGACCTTGTATTAGCTGTTTAGTCAGGTCCTTAATGTTTGCCGCTTGTTTCCTTTTCTGAGTCACCAGCTCGTCCCTCAGCTCTTCAACTCTGGTTTTCAGCTGGGTCACCTCCGCCTGCAGCGCTGTCCGCTCCTCCTGCAGGCCCTGCACCTCCTGCTGCCTCAGCACCTCCTCCTGTTTCAGGTGCCGCGTCTGCAGGATTAACGGGGACGGGGAGGGAAATTCAGTAATACGCGTTAAAAGCCACAACAGAGAAATTAGATATTGTGAAAATGTCTGCTTGCTCCGAAGAATACAAATAAAGACTAAAAATATCACAATTCAAGGACACTAGATGTTCTAGGTCAGACAACTCAGCTGTCATAAGTATGTCAGAGGCAAGAAGAACCCATTTGTTCCACTTTTGATTGGACAGGACAGCTAAAGAGAGACGAGATATGTTGGGAGGAGAGAGCGGGGGATGACATGCAGAATCCCTGTGATTAGGACTACAGCCTCTGTACTTGGAGCCTGCAAAATAACCGCTAGACTACCCGGTGACCCTGGTGTCACTTCTTGAAGATTTAAAAAAAAAAAAGGGGAAAAAACAACTAAATACACTAAAACTCAAATAAACATGTTTAAAAATTAGGCCTCTACAACCTTTGTGAGGTAGGTCAGCAGGTTTTTCATTCAAACCAGGTAAGTCGTAAGTCCTGTATCAGTTCTACATCTCACTCTTTAACTCGGGGAGATAATAGTTTCCTGACCTTGTCGTCTAGTAGCCGGTTTGTCTCCTCCAGCCTCGCTTGCACCTCTGAGTAGGTGCCACTCAGGTGGTCCAGCTGGGTCTGGAGGCCGTTGCTCTCTGACTGCAGCTGGGCGTTCTTGCTGCTCAGCTTCTCAGTGAAGCCCAGTAACTCGGCCTCACGCTCCCTGCTGCCCTGCACGTCACGCTGGAGGTCGGCCATCTGGTTGGTCAGGCCGTCCACTTCCTCGCGGAGAGACGCGACCTCTTGTTGATCCCTGAGTGTGTCGCAATGATTGCCAAGATGTTTAAACAGACTCTCAAATTAAATCACAAGATAGCAGAAACTACAAATAACCATTTCAATATAATAAGAAGAATAATCAAAAAAAAAAAGGCTTGACACAATTTAGCCATGCAGCACAGGTCAGAATGAAGGTAACAATCTTCTCTGTTACTGAAGTTGTCTCTAAACAGCAGGCATCAACTCTTTTATTTCTTGCCAATAACCAAAATGTGTTTCAAGTGGTGAAAAACTTCCTGTTTCTTCATTTACAGCCAAAAAAAAAGAAAACTTTTCTTCAAATCAATTTGGTGTTGCGTCACCTACTTATGGCACTCTGGCACACAAAAAGAACAGCGTCTCAGTAATTGGAAAAGTTTCTCTTCCTATGAAGTCGTGTGCACATGGCTGGCAGTGCCAAACACCCACAGAAGGACCCGAGTCACTCTCTGCCCTGTGTGCTATATCTGTCACTGTCCTACCTCGGAATCCTGGGAGAAAGGTGCTTGAGGAATTAAATAAAAGGGGGACAAAGTCTCTATTACAACCTGTACAGTTCTATCAGAAACCAATTAAGGTTGGATGGAGAAGAACAGACGCTAGGTTGAACTACACAAATGACACATTTCAGCTGAGATAGGAAACTATTAAGACCTCAACGCTTTAAAAAGAGTCATTCTTTCATGCAATGATACTTTTAGAAACTTAACGACAGCATTTTGTGAAATATTTGCTTCCACCGTGAAGTGTAGAGCTTCATATGTCTCACTGTCTTTCTTATTTAAGTTTGATCTTATAGTTCCGTCACAGCATCTCCTTTCTAAAAATCTACATTACGTCATCTTATAAAAGCATTTTCCACCTTAAACAAAGCAGCCAATTACGATATTTGATCGGTCAATGGGCTTCCACAAAAATGAACCGAAGTTATTTGAAGAGCCGCCTAGAATGTGCTATTTCTACAGCACATGTTATTGCTTGTTTTAGCATTAAGCTCTGCATTGATAGCAAAAAAAACCCCCTCATATTTACCGAGTTTACAGCGAGCAGCAACATCTTAAAAAGGTGTCCTAGCTGCAATTTAGGCTTAAAAGCAGCCCAAGGTTGTTCTATTTCTGGACTGCTTTTTGGTTACCCATATTTCTCTTTACATTATGGGTCTTTGTTGCAGAGCTGTGTACCACAATCAGTGCTGAGATGTAGAACTGATGTAAAGAAAAAACTTAGAAGTGGTTAGCAACAACCTGTGCTTAATCAATCAATAACATTTTATTTATTCTATTAACCCTTTCACTTAATGAATCCATTCACACAAAGAGAAAAAAAGAAGGTAACAAAAGCTTAACTTGCGCCTCACATTAGAATTTGAGTTGTCATATTTTGGCTTCTGTAAATTAATCTGCTCTTTCATAATTTCCTTTAGATGCTGGAGAAGAAATATTGACCCTATGGTGTGTTGATTGATTTTTCTCTAGCATGTCTCAGTGTGTGCCACTGTCCCATGAGTTTGCTTCGGTGTTGCTCCTACATGATCAGTTGCTAGTTGTGTAGTAGCATGTGTGTGTTTGTACCTTTCATGCTGCTCCTCGAGCGCCGTGATCTCCCCCAGCTTGTCTCTCTGCCGGCCGATCTCAGCTTTCTGCCGGTTGATGATCTCTCTGTACTTGCTCAGCTCGTCCTCCCAGCGTGGACGCTCGTCTTCCAGACACTTTAACTGAAGTAGAAAAAAAATTAACTCTTATTAAGCACTGCTGGTATTTACACACAGATTTTTCTTATTTGATTTTGACTTATCTGTATGACAAACCTTTGTGCGCAGAGTGATGAGCTCGTCCATGCCCTCCTTGTAGCTTCTTTTCAGGTCATCCAGCTCCTTTGCCTTCACTCGATGCAGCTGCCAGACGTATCAAGTTCTATATTAGATATTTATCCTCAACTCTTAAAGGATACCTATTTTAAAAAAGGATTCTCTTCAGCAGTTTCCAGTTGAAGATTTTGCACACAATACCGTTTCCGTGCAATGGTTATATCCACCATCGTAATCCTCAGTCACACTTAATGAAAGGTTTTTTTCTGAAATCTTGGCATTGGCATCATTTCATCACACATGCATTCCGAGGCAATCAAAGAGCGACATTCATTAACGTTATTTTGCTTTTGCCCTCATTACGTACATGAAAGCAAAGCTTATTAATGCTTCGTCTCATCTTTTCAACAAAGCCATTAATGGTACCAATGCTAGTCAATATTTCCAAGAAGCTATTAGCAGCCTGTGGTTTCCAAGACGACATGCCAGTAATAAATAGATGCCGACAAATTAACCACCCATGCCCTCCATTCATCCCCTCCCCATCCCATTTTATTTACAACCAACACAGTAATGGAAAATCAACTGTTGTGTTTGCATTCTTCACGGATGAGTTGCATCATATTTTGGGAATAACACACGGACTAAAATTAACACAGTCTTGAACTAATTTCTCATCAGTAGAGCAGAGATGTGTGTCAACATTGATGTGTCCTAATTCTCAGTTTTTAGCATCGTTTTAACCACTTTGCACAAAACACTGCGTATCAATTCTACAATTCACTCGGCATTGGAAATGCTAAAAGATATTTCACAGAGTTGATATTCTTTTTATGATCAAATCAAATCAAATTAAAAATAGAAATATAAGTAAGTAGGATTTCTGCTAAATCAATTCATGAAATATAAACTTGATGACTTCCTAAATTAAGATTAAGAGATTAAGATTTACTTTATTGATCCCCAGAAATTCTGTTTTTACACTCTGTGCATGTGTATATTCAGCCTGCGTGTGTGTTGCATGATTAACAAACAGGATCCTATGGATATGCACTAATGGAGAGATGTCAGAGTGAGCTGGTGGTGGGGAGGGGGTTTGGTGCCTTGCTCAAGGGCACCTCGGCAGTGCTCAGGAAGTGATCTGGCACCTCTCCAGCTACCAGACCAACTTCCATATTTGGTCCACACCGGGACTTGAACCGGCGACCCTTCGGTTCCCAACCCAAGTCCCTACAGACTGAGCTACTGCCGCAAAATGTCACATATTGTTCATTTGAATGATTTGTAAACATCCTGAGTAAAGTAAACAATACTGTGAAATGATGACAAGAAACACATGGTTTGTATTCTGGGTTGTTGTTGACAGGCAGAGCTTTTGTATTGATTAATTCTAGGCCATTTATTTTTAATCGTGATTCCCTTTAGAGTAAGGCAGAGAAAAACAGGCCATTTTGTTTGGACTGAGTCCATGTTTGACGCTGTGTGCATGCTTGTGTGCCTGTAGAGCCTATGTGCCAGTGTGTTACTCATTGCTACTTAAAGCTATTACACCTCTCAAAGTGACGAAAACAACTGAAAATAAACATTTTTACTAGCAGAGCTGGCAAAAGAGCCCGAGTAAAAAAGCTGATGAATGGCTGGGTTGAGTGGAGTGTAAATGTAATACTGAATTAATGACCGAGTTGCATTAGTGTTTTGTTTTTGTCTCTAGCGGATTGTCAAAGAGATGGGAATAGAACAACAAAAATGTCTGTAGACACAAAACAAGCATATAAACTAGGATCTCCGGTGCCTTCTCATTGGACAGCTATATACATTATATGTGTGTAAGAACGTGTGTGTGTGTGTGTGTGTGTGTGTGTGTGTGTGTGTGTGTGTGTGTGTGTGTGTGTGTGTGTGTGTGTGTGTGTGTGTGTGTGTGTGTGTGTGTGTGTGTGTGTGTGTGCGCGCACACACAGCAGTATTTCACCTCTAATTGGTCTGTTTGTTCCTGCTTGTGTTTCTCCAGCTCTCCTTTGGTCTCCCTCAGTTTCGCATCCAGCTCGTTGGACTTGAGTTCCTCTGACTCCTGCAGGGACGAGGAAAACAAGATTAAAAAACAAGACGAGCATGAAGACGACAGAGACAGAGAGAATTCAACAGCTCAATCAGCAGTAACAGATGGGCTGGTTGTGAAAACCAGGAGAGATGAAGAGATTAATTAAATATAAAAAGCAGGGAGAATGCAGCAACTCGTTATAGAAATAAAAAAATAAAAATAAGTAAAGAACATTTTTCAAACGTAGATATCCGAGGGTGATTTTGTTTTTTAATTAAATTGCTGCTTGTTGCTTCTCCAAGTATCCCGCATCTGATTGACCCTACCCTTGATAAAAGTTTGACTTTCTTGAGTTCTGTGTAGGCAAGTTAAATAGAGTTTTCAGAAATACACAAAATCCCTGAATTTTGTTGGGATTGGCTGCACACGTAAATGCAGCAAGTAAAAGTCAGGAAAATTGACCGGGTGCGAGTGGGCGGAGATGATGATGTTTATATCCTACAATGGATGCGGGATACCGAGACCCCCCACCCTGTTTGTAACAGGGTAGCAAAGCATTAAGGAGATGTGACATTTTTCCTAGTATTTGCCTTAAAGGGCTAGCTACAATAAAACTGTATGGAATTTCAAAAATAAGTCAGTGTATTCCGTTATTTGTTCACAAATTGGACATGATTGCCCGAAACTAGTCAGAGGAGTAGCAAAGACACGGATTTGGAGAAAAGTCGACATGGTAAAAATTACTTTAGACCCATATTGAAGTGTCATACATGGAAATTTGTTTCCAGATCCAAGTGTGAAATCAATCTGATGAAAAGTTGTGGAGAAAATAATAATGAAAAAAAACCTACAGACATACAGAGAGTCCTTCCTGATAAACCAGATGGTGAAAGTTACTGTGTAATGTCCTGTTGAAATACGATAACAGTATACAAAACTGACAAACTTCATTATATGTTTTACTTTGGGTTTCCTGAGAGCTTGATGCCAGGTTGTTGTTTATAGATATTTATACTGTATTTATCTTCCACTGTTGTTTGCTCGCACTGCTGTCTGAGTCTGCTCTGACAGCAAACTGCTGAGGAACGAATACAGCTGCTCCAATTCATCTTTCAAACACAGCTCTTTACCACCATCATAAGGTTTAAATTAAAACTGCCATTCTGCAGAGACATAATCAACCCTGTTTCATCGAGTCCCATTAAACAGACTCTTCAGCATCAGTGAGCACACAGCTAAGCACAAACAAAACACACACACACACACACACACACACACACACACACACACACACACACACACACACACACACACACAAGTGGCTGTATTAAAAGCATGATAAATAGGTCATAAATAATTATTATGAGAGGTTAAAAGAGTGGTGTTAAAAACAAATAAACACAGATCAGTCATTTATGAGCCTGATGGATGTGGGCACATATAAGCTGATTCAGTGAGTAGGCTTACTGAGTTAAGATTTTGATGAGTACAAAACGTTGGCGCAGCAAAGAAAAACATGCTATCTATCTGAATCATGTCCATGCAAACATTTAGTTTCTCCGACACAGAAAGGAAAGTTTGCTCAGGCACAAGAATGTGAGCAAACGTTAAATATCTATGTGATAAATACCACAGACCTGGTATGTTCGGATCATGTCCTGGCAGTTCTTGCGGATCTGTTCTGTCTCCTCTTTGGCCTGGGTAAGCTTGGACGTGGTCTCTCTCAGTTTGTCTTTAGTTTCCTGCACACAGAGTTGTATAAACACACTTTTAGGATTATGAAAGTGAAGAAAAAAAAAGGGTGTTTTGCTTCAAAGGGAACCAGTACTGTAAGAAGCCATAACAATGATTTGTAAAAGGTTCTTGTTTTATGACTTTGTTTTCTGGGAAATGCATATATACAACAGTAGGGAGTGATTTAAACGCGCACAAGTCTACCACACAAACAGAAACATTAGTGACTCATCTCCCGCGGCCTCCAGCGCCCACACAGTTTCTGCTTTCCCTTTTGTTTATAGCTGCGTATTTGTTTGGAGGCGGTTAAAAATAAAAGCAATATTTTGTGATAAGACTTTTTCAAAAATAGAATCATTGTTAATGATGATTTCCTTGCAGGATCATTACTGCACCACTTTCGTCCCATTTCATTTCGCCTCTGAAATAAATGAAAAAAACACATCTAATCATGTTTTCTGTGGAGCCTCTGCAGATAAAATGACTAAAGGGGGTCATTTATATCCTGGAAGCACTTAGAGGAGAGCACACAGCTCTGACTAACTACAAGGTGATGACACTTAATACAGATATCAACCAGAAATTGAAGTATGTTCTTTCAGGCTGATGTGGGCAACTTATACACTGCATTATGAAAGCTGAAAGGACTTTATGTAGACAAACGTGTCAGACATATTAATGAGTACATCCAGCTATTTTTAAACTGTTTGTTATTTCATTTAAATGTGTCTGCAGTCGATTCATTCCTGCAGCACAACATGATCGCTCCATAAGCAACAGATTTAACACAAAATAATTACAGAATGATCTAAGCTTGATTACCTTGTGTGCATCTGCCTCGCTCTTCAGTTTGTTCTGGGCCCATTTGACCTTGATCAGATGCGAGTTCACCTCTTCCTTCAACTTTTCCACTTCACGGGTCAGCCTGCTAACTTCGCCTTCCTGTGAACACAAAACCCAAACAATTTCAGAAGATTGAACAGCAAAAAGGTCTTTGGCTGAGTACTAATGAAACACATAGCATTGTACATTTTAAATGTGTCAAATTAATATATAATCAATAGACTTAGCACATAGAGGACATTGTGAAATGCTCCATTAAATACATGACAACGAGGGTGGTTTTTCCTCCATTTGAAATAAAACCTGGTAAGCCACAACATTTGTTGATACTTTATGTCAGCCTGTAAAAGGGTTTTTAGAAAAGATGCTTCCCAAAAGGCACTTCAAACTGACAAAAGTATTTACCTTCACTTCGTGCAACTGCTGCAGTCGACCTTTCTCCTGAGCCAGCTGGTTTCCTCGCAGCGCCTGGCGGTCTACCTCCTTGGTGGCTTCCCTGAGTCTTTTCTCTAAACTCTCCTTATCCCGCCTCAGGTCGAGGGCCTCCTTCTCCCCCCGTACGTACTTCATAACCATGGCCTCCTTCTCTTGACGCGCCTCTTCTGACTTCTTGTTCACCTGAAATCAGGGTCATTTATCATTTTACATTTCCATAAAGATCAGAAGAGGGTGAAGTTTCCTTAGAAATATATCACGGTGGATAGCATGATTATATATATATATATATATAAAATATAAGTTATGAAAGACCAACAAAATAACACAAACCCATCAATTCAGTTCATGATCAACTGATTTTCTTGGATAAGTAATTCATTGTTCATCTATAAAATGTAGACTGAAATGTTATTCTAGCAGCAATACTTCACACAGGAGAAGCTAGTGCAGAGAATAGATTAATCCATCTTCTATAGGGACACTTCATTCAGTTTTCTTCTCAGGTTTCACACTGCTGTGTTCATTCCTCATGCCAATAAATTGCTCATGGCCATTTCTGACTTTCTGGTTAAGAGCTTTTTGTTCCTGTGGTAAATCCTTACTGCTTGCGCTGACAGGTGAACATGAAGGAGAGCAGGAGGAGGAGGAGTAAGAAGAAACTGCATCTAGCTATACAAGCTGCTGTGTATTGTGTATCTAAAAATAAAAATGTATTTTTTGTATGATCAAGAATCATATTGTGGAAGTTAAAAAAAAGAAGGACTTTTTTTTTTTTTTAAAGATGACCACATTAAATGTTTGAAAGCTGAAAGTAGCTCAGGACTGGGTCACCATCATAACACAAGGCAGGACTGATATAAGAGAAAGGGCTTAAAGGAGCAGCTGAGTGCCAAATGTACCTTGCATTGTTCACTGAACTATGAAATTAAAAAATTGTGAAGTGTGACAAAACTGTCAACAGAGAAGTACCCTACATGGTTTCAGCCAGGTGTGCAGACCTCGTGGATGAAAAATTGGCTTTTTTCCACACTGTTCACTTAACAAGTGATTACATTTGCAATAACAAGAGTTTTATGTGCAAACTCCATGACCACCCACCTAGCTGCTGGTTTTGTGCGAACAACTTCAAAGGAAACTAAAGAGACTTGCTTTTTTTTTAGCCAGTTTCAGTTTTAGTAACCTTTACTTTTGTTATTCTCAGCTTAGGCAGTCATTTTAATCAAATAAAGTAGGAGCTAATGACTGGCAGTGATAATGATGAATTAGAGGAGAGCAAATTCTATAGAGACACTTCACAAGAAGAAGAGGGACACGGTCCTGTTTTTTTCACATTTAATTAACATTTCACTAATCAATTGAGATGTTATCTTTAGGCACAAATAAAATGGATGGCATTAGAAAGCATGTTGATTTGCAGACACACACATCGGAGTGATGATGTCTGGAGTTATGGTAAAATCTAAACAGTAGCTGATGTGTGGATGTTTCAATTGTACCAAATGTGCTACTTCATCATAGACATTTAAAACATGGATGTAGTCTCAGTGATGTCAAAAATTGATGACTGAAGGGGACTTCTTAAGACCTTTAATGCCGGTCGCTATATTGAAAATGCGGTCTTAACCTAAGCAACTGGCTGCAGCATTGTTGTCAAGAGAAGTCTCAAAGATTCTTCAAATTAAACATTGAAAGACAATGTTCCACTGTATACACTGTATTTTCAAATAAATCTTACTGATGTTTTATGTATAATGTATGATTCAGAGCCCCAGCAGAGTGCTGTGCTGTGGTGTGTGAAGTCATCATTAATAGCCTTGAGTTCACTGCAGTTCATTTCTCTTTGTCGAGCTGCGGCCTGAGTGACATCTCTCTGACCACAAGAACTCGGGTCTGATTTCTCAGCACAGTGTACGCACAAAACTGGACCTGACACTGGTATACACTACTTCCCAAGCAACGTTTGGGGTCTATAAAAACAAACTTGAAAGAAAAATATGCACACAAATAAGCAAACCCATGTGAATAAAAATGCTTAAAGGCAGGGGAAATTGGCAACGCGTGTCTAAAAGTCTCATCCCATCATAATCATTCAAACAAGCAGAACTTATTTGTGTGTGTGACTGTTGAAAGCTGCTTTCCATGTGTAGGCCTACCTTTCAAAAACTGAAGAGCAGGGCATGGTGAGTTGAGTAATTTTAGTCTTTATTAATGTTTTTAATGGAAGAGCAGGCAGCTACAATTACCTTTTCCCCTAAAACATCTAGATAGATAACGTTATTGTCCTATATTCATATTCAGAGAATCAGATTACGATATGTTCCACTGGGAGTCACCTGATATAACATCACAGCACAAAATGTAACATCAAACAGAGTGTACTGGGTATGGATGGATAAATAGATGGATAAATCCATGTTGAGGGGGGACAAAACTTAAGACCTTTGAGTATTTTTTCAAAGTCTGAAATTCATTTTTCTTGTCATAAATTCAGTTAATCCATTATAGAAAAAAATAGAGAAAAGAACTGCCCTTGGACTGGATGTGATAATCTTATTTTTAAGTAAAACCATGGTGATGTAATCGGTCAGTTCAGCAACATAAGGTTGCTGTAGTGCTGAAATGAAACAGGCCCAGACATGCAAATAAGGATCAGGCTGGGGTGAAACTAAGCTGCTATGACCAGCTTATCAAAGACTCTAACTGCATTTGGCTTCCAGTTTTACCTGTTCTACCCGGTAGGATGTCTCCTTCTGCATCTGCTGGAGGGCGGCCTTAGCTACGTGATCCTGGTGGGTCAGTCTGTCCCGTGACTCTTTCAGCTCTCTTAGCAGCTCCTCAACCCTCCCCTCCAACTGTAGAGACAAGGAGTATACAGACAGGGTTAGCAACTTGTTGGGCAACATGTATTGAACAGCAGGCCTCTGCCACACCTGCAACACAGCATGATGCCTGACGCAAAATGTTGGAGCCAAATACATCTCGATGGCACAAAGAGAGGAATGCAGTTTGTCCTACAAATCTGATACTTCTTCTGCAAAATATGACTGAAATGTACTGGAAAGCCCTTCAGCCTTTGGCAACATGTGACTTTCATGACATGTAAGAGACATTTTTCCTCTAATCTTTTTGTCTGAGATAAATTAGGCCCTATTTGAAAGTTTTTTTATTTTATAGTTCACTTTTTATTTTTTTTATTTTTTAAACTGCTTCAGAATAAGCACAAGTAGTAGACATTTAATATAGTACGCCGAGAACTGTGGTGGAAAAAGAGAAAAAGGAGCAAAGCATACATTGGATGTAAGTGAAATTCCTCCTACACCCTTCTGCTTGCACAAAGCTTAAACAAACAAAACGGTTCTTAGAAGGCCTGACTCAATTACTGTTCCTCCTGAAGCAATGAATAAATGAGATCCAATCAATTAAAGAGCTATGTAGATGGTAGAGCTTTCTAAATCAAAGGATATGTCACACAAACATAAAGACACTCTTAAACACAGAACTCCCATAAATAAAAGCAGCCTTTCATGCAAATGATGCATGTTGAATGCTAGTAATCAGAGCTCTGTGTCCCTTTTCTTCTTCGCACTAGGCTGCTTTGTCTGGCTTCCCTAATTACCAGCTGCACAGGGCTAGAATCCAGATTTGATTGGAGCTTCAATGTGACACCATTTGTCCTCTGATTTGGCCTCCAAAAGAAGTGCAGCCTTGTTATGAGAGGAAATAGTTCCTTGAATTTTCCGTTTTAAACTTTTTCCACATTGTTTTTTTATTTTAGGAGATCAAAATCAAAAGAATGACTAGTAGGCCTGCTATTAAAATATATCTTTAATAACCTGTTTATCTACTTTAATACATATTTCAAGGTACCCTAAATGATCGGTTGTTTCTCTTCACCTAAATAATATCAGTGCATTTCAGCTGTGAAGTTTCTCGGTGTGAAATACAGTAAGGTAAGGCAAAAATAACCGTAAAAAACAAAAGAGTCTGATAAGCCACCATGTTTGTTTTAATCTGTGCGTCTGCTATATGGCAAAGCTTTTCCTTCACAATCCCTAAACTTTAACATATATGTGTGCTATATGATTATAATAATAATGAGCAGAAGTTAATGTCTGGCCCTTTTGCAGGAATTCAGACAGTCCATCCCAATGGGGCACTTCCTTGTTCATGAAAAACAAAAGATAAAAGGTTGCCATTGTTTCCAAATAAGTGTTTGAATATAGCCTGGAGAGACATTCATTGTGACCGAGGGGTAGTTGAAGGCTACATCAGCTATTTATGCTTAAAATCAGTCAGTGCCCTCAGATTACAAACAATGGGAATAGATTTTAGAAAACAAAACTAGCCTTTTTAATAGTGGACGTGAGCAGCCTTTCTGTCTCAGCCTTCTTTTTTAGCTCGTCCCTCATGTTGTCCTTCTCTGAGCAGATCCCCAGGATCAGATCCTGATGCCTCTTGTTCTCTTCAAGCAACCTGTACATTCAAATTCAGCACACAAAGACAAACACACAAACATACAACTCAGATCATACAGAGCTCTGAAGAATTCAGACTGTTATAAAGGCCAAACAACAGAGGATAATAGAAATAATTGTGGGTTACTTTGGGTCATTTAGACATTAGGTTTTATGTGTGCAAAAACAATTACTCTTTTGTGCAAGCATAATGAGGGCAGATTAAATGCAACTAAGGTGAAGTAAAACAATCCGGTTATTATAAAGATAAACCTTTTGCTAAGGTGACACGCTGTATTGAAAGTTTACAACTGTACAAATAGCAATAGCTGCAAAGTTATGTGATGAAGCTGGTCTAGTGTGCCTCTGAAACAACAGTTTACCTTTGAATAGCTTTCTCTTGCTGTGCATACTTGTATTGAACACACTTCTCAAAGACCTCCTGGTCTGGAGAGAGTCCATTGACAGGCATGCTCCCTTTCCTCTCCCCTCCATTCTCCCCCTCAGGCTGCTGACAAGAGAACAGCTCAGACTCCAGCTCATCCAGCAGTGACTCCTGTGACAGCGAGCGCTGGATCTGGGATATAAGCTTTCGGCTGCAATCAGTGTCATACGGACTTGAAAAGGCGTGCGAGGGGGCTGTGGTGTTGGTTTGCGGGCTGGAAGCGGGAGAGAAGCTGACAGTATCGGAACTGGGGGTAGACGGGCCATTAGAGATCCCAGAGGTGGTTGTGGAGTCCGTTGGGGAATTTTTGGAAGTGCTTTGGACGGAAGAAGAAGGACTCCAGGGTGAAACGCTTTCATCAGCAGGTGAGGGCTCTGTGGAACAATTTGTGGCCGAGACTGATGGCTGCTCCATGCTGTTTGAAGAGATGGCATCAGAATCCTGCACTTTATCTAAAGTCAAAAAGGTTTCTATGGTCCCTTCAAGAACAGATGGAGAGCTTTCTTCCACATTATTCAAAGTGGTGAGTTGGGCTCCCAAAGCTCCACCAGCCTCATTTAAAAGTATAGGCATCCCACCTTCAATAGAACTGCTTTCACAGATGGTATTAGCACCCAGCTCGCTCACATCTACACGTTCCTGACTGCATATTCGAGCCGCCGCCTTCGTCTCTGAGTCCGTGTCAACATCTGTCTTAGTCCTGATTAATTCGCTGTCAAGCTGAGCTTCATCTTCTGCCTGACTGAGCTTTTCTGCCCCATCTGCACTGTTGTGAGAGATTTGCGGCTCATCTTCTAGTTTAGATGTGCTGTTGCGAAGCAGGTCTGCTGGTTGCAACCCCTGTGACACAGATTCAGCCTCTGATCCCTCCATCATGTTTGAATCTGAAGCAGGACCAGGCTTTTCCTCGGTCCCTCTCTTGTTCAAATCTGCTGGAGACAAGGGGAGGGGCAGACACCGGAGAAAGATTGATACTTAGTTTACAAGCAAGACCAATAAACTGTTTGGGTTTTTTATAAATCATGTGACTCAAGTTTTTCTTTGAACAACCATAAATTCCAGGTTTCTTCTAGTTTTTTTTGTGTCGAGACAGGAAAAACCCTGATAATCCCAACAATAAGCCTCATATTTCCTCATGTTAGTTCTCGCGCGATTTACATCTGTACTTCTTACCTGAAGAAACAAATACCCGACATGCCGTTCATACATACTTACTTGTGTTAAAACACATCAAGGGGTGTGGTCCTGTCAACACCTGAGTGTGACCTTGTAGCCCAGAACGTCATACAATTACACAGGTGTGGGCGATAACCTCGCTGAGTTTCTCTTATCTTCAAAGAGCAACAACTGATCAAAATATGTGTCCATACAGGGATTGTGCTATAAACTTTAATACTGATTATATTGCTTCATTCTAATGTTTGCTTTTAAGAACAACATTTATGGATGAGTTTCCTCAGAGAAAGTAAATTATACAAACACAGTTTCTGTAGTCACTCAAAGCATGAGAACCATGAATAAACAAATTAGCCTAGCCACAAATGAAGGATTGAAATTTAAAGGTGTACTGCAAGACCTGAAAGCCTTGTGTTAACCATAATCCAGTTGTTAATGCAACATACAGCAACATACAGCAACACACAGCAACATACAGCAACATACAGCAACACACAGCAACACACAGCAACACACAGCAACACACAGCAACATACAGCAACACAGAGCAACACACAGCAACATACAGCAACATACAGCAACATACAGCAACATACAGCAACACAGCAACACACAGCAACACACAGCAACACACAGCAACACAGCAACATACAGCGACACAGAGCAACATACAGCAACACACAGCAACACAGAGCAACATACAACAACACACAGCAACACACAGCAACACAGCAACATACAGCAACACAGAGCAACATACAGCAACATACAGCAACACAGAGCAACATACAGCAACACACAGCAACACACAGCAACACAGAGCAACATACAGCAACACACAGCAACAGAGAGCAACATACAACAACACACAGCAACACACAGCAACACAGAGCAACATACAGCAACACACAGCAACACAGAGCAACATACAGCAACACACAGCAACACACAGCAACACAGAGCAACATACAGCAACACACAGCAACACACAGCAACACACAGCAACACACAGCAACACACAGCAACACACAGCAACATACAGAGCAACATACAGCAACACACAGCAACACACAGCAACACACAGCAACACACAGCAACACACAGCAACACACAGCAACATACAGAGCAACACACAGCAACACACAGCAACACACAGCAACACACAGCAACACACAGCAACACACAGCAACACACAGCAAAATACAGCAACACACAGCAACACACAGCAACACACAGCAACACACAGCAACATACAGCAACATACAGAGCAACATACAGCAACACACAGCAACACACAGCAACACACAGCAACACACAGCAACACACAGCAACACACAGCAACACACAGCAACATACAGCAACATACAGCAACATACAGAGCAACATACAGCAACACACAGCAACACACAGCAACATACAGCAACACACAGCAACACACAGCAACACACAGCAACACACAGCAACATACAGCAACACACAGCAACATACAGAGCAACATACAGCAACACACAGCAACACACAGCAACACACAGCAACATACAGCAACACACAGCAACACACAGCAACACACAGCAACACACAGCAACATACAGCAACATACAGCAACATACAGAGCAACATACAGCAACACACAGCAACATACAGCAACATACAGCAACACACAGCAACACACAGCAACACACAGCAACACACAGCAACATACAGCAACACACAGCAACATACAGCAACACACAGCAACACACAGCAACATACAGCAACATACAGAGCAACATACAGCAACACACAGCAACACACAGCAACATACAGCAACACACAGCAACACACAGCAACACACAGCAACACACAGCAACACACAGCAACATAGAGCAACATACAGCAACACACAGAGCAACATACAGCAACACACAGCAACATACAGCAACACACAGCAACATAGAGCAACATACAGCAACACACAGCAACACAATGGAGGAGGTCATGAGTGTAAAGACAGTGAAAGCACAACAGCTAAAACAAACACAAGTGATGTAGATGTGACAGGTGTCATGCCATATCACTGTCGAAAGTAGACACCGTCAGTAGCCAGACACATATAAACACACCCTTGGTTGGTGACTGTGCAGATAGTGAGTACCAGGCCGATGTGCCATTTGTACTTACTGCCGTTTTACAATACTTTATTTATCGTCAGCCCTGCTAATTTCGACTTTAGCACGTTAGCTGCTCGCGTAGCCACGACCAGACATTGGGGAACAACACATTACACAGCACATGCTACAACACAGCAGGCCAACAGAGGATGTTTCCAATAGATTTAACGCTAAAATGTAGACTGACATGCTGTGTGGAGTCACTGGTTAAGCTTAAGCTAAGCTAACATTGATAAGTGCTGTGCTATAAGAACAATCCGCTCACATTTCAGCTAACATCTGACATGAATGACGAATAAAAAAATTGTAATATTTTCACCCACCGAATGCGAAAACCCCATCATGTGGCTCAATGTGCAGTTGTGGTCGGAATAATATTGAACTTTGAGCTCTCTGCCTCACCAGCTGATAGCCCAACAAGTCACTTTGATATGACACATCAACAAATATGGCCACTGCGAGAGAAACGATGAAGGCTGTGTGGACCAATGACAGCCCTCGAGAAATGACGTAGGTTTGACGTCACCACACGACAGGTACAGTGTACAGTGCAAGTAGTTTTTTTTTTTTTTTTTTAGAATATTAAAAAAATGTGACGAGCAACATTTTTCTTCATACATAAAAAAATAAACGAGACTATACTCTCCTGTGATTAAACACATTCAGTACATTAGAACCGGTTTTATGCGGTACTCAGTTTGTTCATCAGCACTTTGTAAAAAACAAACCTTAATTTCTCTTAAAGTTACATATACACTTTAAATGATAAACTCATCATATTCGATCATATTGTTAGGAAAAATCCCTGCAGTTTTTAATTTATTTTCAAAGAAAATAAATGTACAAATAATACAGAAGTCGAAGACAGATAAGTCGACTAAATGTTAAGCAAAAACCTTTGGTTCTCCACAGTATTATTAGTAATTATTATATTAGTATTATTATTAATCATAAGAGAACTTTATGATATAAACTTAATATTTTTGCCCCTAGTGCTGGTTTAATAACACAACTGGTGCAATAGCTAGCAGATAAAATAAACTGAGATTACAATATGAGAATTTTCTGTTTAAAAATTAATAATAACATGTTTTTTTCCCCCTCCTAAATATTGAATAATGTATCTTCTTTTAAGGATATGGCTTAATGCTTCTAATGATAGACAAAGTTGCCAATTGAGCTAAGCTGATATTTTGTGTTTGTAAAGTTTTATTGTAGTGATTATTGAGTTCTCTAGATCTGACTTGATTAGATGGGTCATGTGAGCCTTCATTATAGAAATGTTAATGTGAACACACAGGGTGGAGCAATTACAGAAATAAGGCCACACAATGCTTTGAATACAATAAGGTCCCCACACCTTTGTAAGGTAATTATGTTTAGATTTTTTGTTTTCAGTCATTACTCCAATGCATTGCTTTTGTTATTTTAAGGCCTATATAGTTGTCATGGCCATAGGGGAAAAAAACAGACATTCTCAGACATACTGTGGAAAAAAGTAAAAAAAAAAGAAGAATTTAAATTATAAACAGAAATAATGACAAATAAAATTAACGATTAAACAATTGGCAGTCATTTCACCTGTTAACACTTTATATTTAAAAATAGTTGTTTTGATAATATTCTCAGATAAAAGCATACTTGGAATAACAATTTCTTTCTCGTATGTTGACACCATTAACTGAGCCTACTGCGCATGTGCACTACGTTCTCTCCTTTACAGACCAGTGACAGACACGTGCATTCAGGTACAGTATAGTCAATGAAAAGTAGAGCCAAAAAAAAAAAGATTTATTTAATTGTCTGTGTTTAGAATTTAGTCATATCACGTAGAATAACGTTATATCAGCTTGTTGTTGTAAGTTTCGCTCAAATATAGCCATTTATGTAAACTTTCTAATAGCGAAACGCGGTAGCGGGCTAACTTGTCTTTCACCGTAAAGTGTCCATGGTGTTAGCTGGCTGTTCCGCCGTGCATTCAGCTAGCTAAGAAAGCCGTACTTATAAAGTGTTAAAATTGAATGCGCTTTCAAGCCTACATCATGTAAAAATAAACTGTCCTGTCAACCATTGCTGCCAGCTGCCGCCATGCACCATCCTTTTGCTCTTAACTCGGTTCGTCCTAACCTGCCCTTGAGGAAACCATCGTCGAGCCCCATGGCTCTTTCCACCGCAGCGCCTCCTCCGAGGTTCACCACGCCCGATGCAGCACCTGTGCGCCCGGCCTCAGGAGCCATTGGAGACGGTAACAAAAATGTCCCTCAAATCACACAACTAGCCAGTATTGCGTGTATCAAAATTAACAATGTAACTTGCCTGGAACATCTGCTGTTTTTCTAATTCGGACAACTTTAAATAAAACTTATATAATATATTAGTCTCTAAATATGGTCAATTAAGTAATTGTAAAAAACAAAACAAATTTAATTTAATTTAATTTAATTTATTTTATTTTATTTTATTTTATTTTATTTTATTTTAATTTAATTTAATTTAATTTACCATTATCATCACTCTTTTCTTTTTCCAGGTCCTTTACCTACGGCAGTTATCATGAATGAGTCTCCAGTGCGTACCAGTCTATACATCATATCACCTGTGCATGGTCATGTCAAGGTTTTTTTTTTAATCTAAGGAGCTTTTGCTAATTTTTCTATTTTTTAAATCTTTTTTCATAGTTGTTAGGATCCATGCCACCAGCTTTGACTGTATACTTCTGCAACTACTGTGGTCAACAAGGTAATGTTTTAGTCATTAAGTTTATAACTTTAAAAAAAAAGGGTCTTTTAAGTTTCTGTAGTATTATGGACGTTTTTGAAGAAATTGTACGTAAAATCATTGCGTTAAAAATTCTCGAACATTTACTTAGTGTTTTTTTTTCTTCTCATTAACATTATACTTTTTTTAAACCTTGCAATATACAATATTGTAAAAAAAATAATGTGTTACCAAAATGGGATCACATCAGGGCAATTCCAAAATATATGAAAGTCTGAAGCCTCATTTTCCATCACATGAGATTAGAAAGGCCCATCTCACAGAATCAAAAGCCTTTTTAGGCATCTAGACTCAGTACCAGAGCCTGAATTTTGTTCTGTGTTGTATATCTGATTATCTACAACGTTCATCGAATGTTGTCCTGGGTTTTTCTGGTCCGAATAAACCCTGTTTGGTCCAATTGTTCAATCTGTGGTAAGATATTTTCTATTGCTTTGCTGATCTTTGCTGTTTCTAATGAGCTAAAAAATCACTTTGAAGGAAATTTTAGGTGCAAGCGCTGTAAGAAGACGCCTTACTGCTCTGTGGTGTGCCAAACTGAAGACTGGAAGGCACACAGACACATATGCAAGCCCATTGATCCAGCACCTGCACAGTAAGCTGGCTCAATGTTAGGGGTTGGACAAAATATGGATACAGTATGGATATATACTTGTATGGATACAAGTACCAAATGACACACTGAACCACTTCATGACTTCTCACAGTGGCGTTTATGACATTAATGAGGGTAACGTTAAAGGGAGGGAATTGTCTGAGGCAAAAGTTGACTCGGGGATTAAGGAAGAAAAAATGGCAGCAGGATAATGTTGGATAGCAGTCAAAAGAAACTAAACGATAGCATGTGATAAGAGGTGAAACAGCCTCCAAATTGCAGTGACTTAATACATGAATACGACACTTACCTTTTTCAGGGGACGTTTATATCATTGAGTTAATCAGATTCTGTGATATAGCATCGCATGATTATCTTGCAATCTATCAATTATTACAGAATCAGTGTATCATGATATTAACCTTATTGTGGGCCTTGTGTTGTATCATTAGTTACCCTGTTATTCCATCACTGGTCAATATTGAGATGCACAAACTGTCAACTGTGATTACTTTTTTGTTAATGCTAAAATAAAAACACCTTGTGATTCAGCTGCAAAGGCTGGGATGATTATAGTATGCCTTTAAATGCACACACTCACTTTGATTTTTTCTTTATCTGAAGAGAGAAGCCAAAGGAAACCTCAGCTTCACCTGTGACAGCAGACAGAGCTGGCCTGCTCCTGTCAGAGGTAAATTGAATATTTGAATGCACCTAAAACTCAAGATTTCCGTCTTGAAATCTTAAGTGTAATGGACTTATGACCTTTTGTCATGTACTATGTTTAACCCCTGTATTTTTTTAAGCATGATGACGCATCCAGCCTCAAGAGGGTCTATTTAAAGGATTTGCCCATGACTATAGTAATAAATGGAAAAGAAATACAGGTACAACAAAGCCATTTTGTCTGTGCTGTAAAAAATTGGAATAACCCAAAAGTGAATGTCTCTTTACTGCAAATGTGTGTTGTTTTAGGCATCATTAGTAGAGTTCTACAGCCCTGGGAGGTTTTTCCTCCTTGCCCAAAGCCCAGAGTTGCTTGAAGCTCTTCAAAACATTAGCACAGAGCTTCAGAAAATGTACAGCTGCCCCTCAGTGACAACATACATGCCCTGTGTCGGAGAGGTTTGTGGCGTGCAGTTCTCCAGTGACATGGTGAGCAGAGGTTTTTTTCAAGCAATTATCAAGAAACTCAAGTTTTACCCTGCGCTTTAGTGCAAACTTTGTAAATACCACTTATCTGAAGCTCTATTTTCAATGTGTAGAACTGGTACCGAGGCCTAGTTCAGAGTTTGGCTGCTGACCAGAAGACGGCTAATATCCTTTACATTGACTTTGGTAATGAAGAGGATGTTCCTGTGGAGAGGATTAAGCCCCTAGCTGATAATATCCAGCCATATTGTCCATGCGTAAGTGCACAGTAAATTCACGCAGATCTTGTGCATCGCTGTGCTACTCACCCCCTTGCACTTCTCCATCTGTTAAAATTAGCCATTTTCCTAGAAACTCATTAAACAGAAATATGAATTGTTGGTCTAAAGGTAAAATTCAAGAAAGAAAACTGTCAAATTGAGCACAATTTCATCTAACTGGGCTTAACATTGGCTAACAACATATTTTGTGTTGCCTTTTTCATTGCTATTTGAAACAGTAAATTACATTCGTCAATAAGGAAATTGATGGTTGTTTTAAATGTAGCTGAAATGTGGAGCACTTAACAACAAGAATTATGAACATGGCACATTCTCCCGTAAAGCCTGACTGCAAATTAGTAAATAAAAGTTAACAAATACGATTTAGAATGAACAACTATCACTGAAGCGTGGCCTTTGCATTGTGAACATGGCATATTCTCCGTCAAAAAGAGCACTGCTCCTTTGAGATGCCATCCATCCATTGTGCTGCTTTACCACCAGGCAGTAGAGTGGGGAGAGCAGGCTCATACACTGTGGCTACAGCCACGGTCAGGATCAGGTGGCTGTTTTGCAGCTTAGGCAAATTTAACCTGCATGTGTGCTTACATTTGTTCAATTATTAATTTATGTAACCAACAAGTAATCCTTGTGCCTAGGATAAGCAGGGGTGATGAAATTTGTAGTTTGGTGGACTTACTGTGCACATTCCTAGTTAAAACTGCGAATTGAAATTTATTTTATTGAAATGTCTGTTGTGGACCAATGAAACATAGTCTACAATGTTAAAGGAAATGGTATTTATTGATAAACTAACAAGAAACTTTGTTGTTCAAAGCTCTACCTAAAATCAAGTGCAGCCAACTGTTTCTAGGTTTATTTATGTTCCCACACCTCAGCTGTGCAATTTGATCTTCACCAGTTTGTTATTGAAGTTTTAAAAGCTAAAATATAACTGTTTTCAATCAGGTCTGTGATGCTGTAAAATGGAAGAGGACAAGGGGGAATTCTCATGCAAAGCATTTTTTTAGGATCCTGTATGACAATAATAATGCTTGAGTTATCCTGTAGCAATTACATGTATTACTTCCAGGCAATGGAGTGCTGTATTGCCAGTGTGGTATCAGTCGGTGGCAACTGGTCCAGGGAGTGCTGTATGGCAGTGAGACAGATGTTGGCCGGCAAGATTGTGACAGTAAAACTGGTAGAAACACTGGAGAATGGTCGCATCCATAAGGTGGATATCCTGCTTTCCATGGGTAGGTCACAGACACCACAGGGAGTTTATGGAAGGATTTGGTCATTAAACACAGGTACAAGATTTTTAAAGGTTGAACCCATTAAAAAAACCTTGTCATTGTCTTTTAGGAATGAAGCTGAGCTCTTTTCTCCTTAAACATAGTTATGCAGCAGAGGAAACAGGCAACATACCAACTGAGCAAGAAATAAGTAAGTTAGCTTCATGTGTACTCTATATAACCATTCTGTGTAATTTTGTCTGTACCTCAGGGATAAGAAAATTGGAGAGAATCATCAGACATCCACTTATATGGCCCAAGATGCTTAAACATTTGATATACACTCAAACTTAGGAGGGTTTTTGAGGCATCTTAAACAGTTGGCTTGGAGAGCAAGCAAAATTAGAAGTAAAGAACTTAGTAACTATGAACACATTGTTAGTTTTGTTGTGCATTCAGTGTTTTGAGAAATGCACAAGCTTTCTCTGTGGAGGGTTGAGCAACTCCTTTGTGCCCTAAGTTAGTGCAGAATGTCTTGCTTCATGTCAGAAAATGTAAACTTTCTTAGATGCCATGGTGACTGCATCCCTTGAAAACTTTAAAAGTCGCTCTGATGGGACGGACGACAACACCTGGGCTCAACCTCCTGAGCCGCTGACCCAGGCAGTGGGCGACTCCTTCTCTGTTGTGGTAACCCACATCCAGTCACCCAACGAAATTATTGTGCAGAAGGTTGAAAATGCTGGTAGGAAGCACGTGTTCTTCAACATGTATCTTTTACTTCTGGCCTTGGATACAATATCTTTAACTGGAGAGTGTTTGGTTCACAGGAGTGATTCAGCAGTTACAGCTGCAGCTGAGGGAACACTGCGCTCAGGTCTCCACCCCTCAAAACTTCAGACCTGCCCCTGGCACAGTTTGCTGTGCCCAGTTCTCAGGTACAACTCATAAATACATACAGATTGAGAATATACAACCCTAAAAGACATGACAGTTTGGTCAATGACAGTATGTCACATGTCTCTTCTATTCAAACACATTTAAAAAAAACCTGTACGTTGTTAGTATTTTTCCAGGTATTACTTTTGTTTTGTCTACTCATATATTATACATAGCTGTGTTTCTTCTGGTTAAAACATTTTTGCATTCAACAAAGGAAAAAAAAACTGTTTCTTCCAGAGGACAAGCAGTGGTACAGGGCTAAAGTTCTGGCGTATTCATCGGAGGAATGCGTCTGTGTCGGTTACCTTGATTTTGGAAATTCTGAGGAGGTGGATTTAGCCTACCTGCGGCCTATCAGCACCTCACTACTGGCCCTGCCCATGCAGGCTATGCCCTGTGGCCTAGCAGGTATCCACTGTGAAACTCATTTTCAATGTCTAGAACTCTAGCGATGTATTCATAGCTCTATAATGAGTCACCATTAAAGACTGTTTTATTATTATCCTTTTATACTGTAGTTATTCAAATTTTCAACACAGATCAGCCTAACAGATATTTTATATGATAATATCAGAAAGTAAATTCACCATGATGTGGTTTTGTCTTTGCTAGAGTCAATAAGCACTCTATTCAAGTGCCTGTTATTCTTGTAATCACAAACACTCAAAAACGTATGAAATGGATTTTAATTTTTTATGGTAGCAAATCCATCCGTAATACCTCACCTGTTTACATTTTTTTTATTTATTTGAAAACATTCACAGTTAATGTCAATGTTGCACCCTCTTATGGGCTCTTTGAATGATGTAGAATGGTAATTCAGTAAATAGAAAAAAAGAAAATCCCAAAAACTATCAAACCACACTTCAGAATTTGTGCAGAAGTAAAATATATATACCGTATTTTCCCCACTTTAAGGCGCACCGGATTATAAGGCGCACCTTCAATGAATGGCCTATTTTAGAACTGTTTTCATATATAGGGCGCACCGGATTATAAGGCGCATAGAATAGAAGATACTGCAGTCAAACGTTTGACTGGGGTTGCGTTATGCATCCACTAGTTGGAGCTGTGCTAAAGGGAATGTCAACAAAACAGTCAGATAAAGTCAAACTTTATTCAGCGTTCTGACAACTCCGTTCACTCCCATGGTAACGATGTTCAAACGTTGATGTGCATATTAACAATATCTCCCAGCCTTGTTCACTCTTCTCCCAAACGTGGAGGGGAACTTTTCCCTGATTCAATAAACACGTAACAGAAACAGTCTGATACCACTAAATCAAACGTTAGTGCATTCACAATATAGTAACTCTCGAAATTGTTATTGTGCATTCACAATAACTCAACATTGTTCAAACGTTAATGTGCATATTCACAATATCTCCCAGCCTTGTTCAGTTGTAAACACGTAAAAGAAACACAGTCTGATACCGCTAATTCAAACGTTAGTGCGTAACTCAACATTGTTCAGTTACGTATAACACGTAAAGATCACTTTTTCAGTTCATTCCCCATCCACGAATCCCTCGAATTCTTCTTCAGTGTCCGAATTGAACAGTTGGGCGAGTACGGCATCCAACATGCCCGGCTCCCTCTCGTCATTATCCGAGTCAGTGTCGCTGAGCGCCGTGTACAACCAGTATGGATCAACCAATTAACCAATTGATCCATATATAAGGCGCTCCGGATTATAAGGCTTTTAAGTGCGCCTTATAGTGCGGAAAATACGGTATATATATCTTGTCTTTGGCTTTTTCCAGGGGTAACGGCTGTTGGAGAGAGCTGGTCAAAGGATTGTGTGTTGGCATTGCAGCGAAGAGTATCAAACAGAATACTGTGTATTGAGATCCAGGGAGCGCACGAGGGCAAAGCTTTAGTAGATATGATTGATGAGTCAAGTGATCCTCAGGCTAATGTGGCGGAGCTGCTGACCTCTGCTGGTTTTGCTGCACCTGCACCTGCTCCTGTTATCACCAGCAGTGAAGAGCAGGTCAGCCAGACTGCAAGTTCTGCTGAGGAACCCAAAGGTGGGGAGTTTTTACAGAAATCTCAGTTTGTTTGTTTTTTTACAATTATCTCAAGCTTGTTTCGAAATATGCACGTTAAAATGTTGTCTTTAGTGTCTCCTCCAGCCTGTGAGCCTCTGAAGTGGTTTCATACTGAGCTTCCGCGTGACGGCCGAACAGTGGCGCTGCTAGCTAGCGTTGTGGAGAACCCTGGAGAGTTTTACTGCCGCATCAACAATCCTACAGGTATGTTTGTACCCTCAGGAGATGAAGCCGGATATAAATACTAAACATGATTGTTCAGGATAGTGATGAACATTATTTTGCACATTATTGATGTGGAGTATTTCAGAAGGATTATTTCACATTGTAATGAACATCGTACAGCCCAGTGTTCAAAAGTAATATAATTGCCACTTGACTGTTTAACTTTTTATGTTTTGTGTTTGTTTGTCAGACCATCAGAGGCTAATCGAGCTCGGGGCTGAGTTGAAGCAGCATTGTGAAACGGAGGCTGCTGCTTTTGAGCCCAAAGTTGGAGAGCCCTGCTGCGCCATGTTCCCTGGTGAGATATCCTGCTGTAACTCAGGTTGAGATAAACTGTCAACTCACCAGAACTATTGTTAAAACAAGAGAGTTAGAAAAGGGTAGTTTATGTTTGTGATATTTGATTCTATCAAGATTTATACCAAGGTCAGACTACACATTAAAAGTATTGTTTTAGCCTGATTCATCAGACGTATAGGGATTCAGAACCTGTAGTGTGTGTGTAGTGTCATAGTGAAAGACAATCAAGGCCACATCTGTGATAGAAAGTCTAGCATGTTTGATATCCTTCTGCCTTCTACAGTGTGTTTATTACGTCAGTGCTGATGACCAATGAGAGCACTAAGTGCTTAAACAAACAAAATGGCGAAGGATTAAGTTGGTGCTGCGAGATTGGAACTATGAGACAAAGGAAAAGTATGCCGAGCTCTAGCGACCACAGCGTTTCTTTCTATTTTTACAGTCTTCTTTGAGGTCATCTAGCCCAGCCCCTCTTGCTTCCAACGTCATCACATCAGTCGTGATGATTAGTCGGGTACCATCGTGTAGTCTGTCATGTCTGTTCATTAAGTCAAAGCACGAATTTATGGCTCTGTGTTTGAATTATGAATAAAAAGACAGCCATAATTTGCCCCCCAGGTGATGGAGCATGGTATCGGGCCATGGTAAAAGAGCTGTCTGAAGACAAAGTGTCTGTTAACTTTGTGGACTACGGCTATAGCATGAAAGTGGAAAAGAACCATCTAAGATCCATTACATCCAAACTCCTGAATCTGCCCTTCCAGTCAGTTCACTGCTGGCTCCAAGGTAGAGTTCATTTTATTTGTTGCCAAAAGAAGATCTTGAGTCTTTTTTTTTTTTTTCATTGGGGATTTGACCGTGACTTATCTTCCAAAATAAATACTTAAATCAGGTGTGGAGCCCCAGGGATCAGAGTGGAGCAGTGAAGCCCTCCTGTGGTTCCAGACTCTGGTGGATGGCGAGCAGCTCTCAGCACGTGTCCTCTCTGTTACTGAACAAGGCTATGGCTTGGAGCTGGAGAGCCGAGGGCAGAATGTGGCAGCAGCCTTAATTTCTGAGCAACTAGCCAAAGCTCCGGGAGGGCTTCCCAAAGAAACACCTGCAGCCACAGGACCTGCAGACAAACAACAAGAAGAAATAGAAGAGAACAAGAATATCCAAAAAGAAGCACAAGCCTCCAACCAGACAGGAGCCAAAGAGACACCAAGTGAAGGACAGACAGCAGCACTGTCAGATGGTCAGTTGGGGCTTTAACATGAAATGCAATGGTTTATTAAATTTAGGAGCTTGATTAAAGTTGTGTCTTTTTCAGCTCCATCTTTCCATGTCGACTGGAAGACATTGGAGCTGCCTTTGAATGAGAACTTTCAGCCTTACATCGCAGCTATCGTTAACCCGTGTCTCTTCTACCTTCTCTGTCTCAGCCAAGGTCAGAACACCCTCAGTCGTTCTTGTTTGTCATAAGACGAATATATTGGCAGAAGTTTACATGTCAATTCCGTGTTTGGGGCATGGGAATCACAGGATAACTCATGATGGGATATGATGTAATACGAAATTTTAAGCTGATAAGGCAATAAAGAGCCCAATATAGCGATTCTGTGATGTATATTATATATTTTGAGCAAATGATATGTTGCACCCATGAAAAGACCAGGACTCTGTCTTCCGTTGGCAACTTTATTCTTCCTGGTGCTGTATTTTTTTATGATTATCTTTCATAAGAAGCATCGGGTCCTCACAACAAAAACGGCATACATGCGCATTCATCTCTTGACCACGACCCCAACCATCTACATCACCATCTACGTCTCTCTCTTAAACAAATGTGAATTAATATTATATACAGTACTTTCTAACTTGTAGTGTAGTGTGCTTTCTTCTGTCAAATTGAATTGCATACAAATATTTCTAGGTCGCAACAGATACATCACAATATGTGGGTGAAAATTGCTGTTTTGATATTTTGTCCCACCTCTGATGTGTGTTGATCTGTAGTGGACCAGCTGAAACTTCAGGAGGTGATGATGGAGCTCGCCGTCTACTGCAGCAACAAGCAGATCTCTTCATCTTCTGCTGTCCTGAGCAGACCAGTTCTTGGAGCTGCCTGCTGTGCCCAGTTCTCTGGTGAGGAACCTCTTATTGTTCAATAATACATGGTGCCACAGTTGAATAGGCAGATAATGTGAATATATCTTGTAACAATGACAACTGAACAGATGCAAAGGTATCCTAACTACTGAAGTGCAGAATGGAACATGCCGTGTTCAGGTTGCTTGTAAGGGCTGCCATGACCCTGTTAAGCCACTGGGTGGCAGACAGGTCAATTCTGAATGATACACAATCCAAGTAGGTGTCTGAATCCATTTCACATGTGATACTAAATACAGACAGTTTTAGCAAAATCTAAAACCTTTTTTTTTTTGATGTAATTTTAAATAGCATTTCTTGACCCAACTGGTCAAATATAAGGCATCACTCCTCATAGTTCTCCTGTAGGATCTTTAGTGAGGTCTGTTTGAAAATGTCTGCGGCTCCCACTAGGTGGAACAGTAGTGACATCATATCATGGTTTAAGAGGCAGTTGCATCCAGAGGTTAATTCATACTTTCCACATGGGAAAACCCCGTCACTTGAGCTACTCACATTACTACTCATTGTGTAATGATTACAGACAAGAGACCGTCTGATCCTTTATTAACTATTACACACACACACACACACACTCAGACAATGTCTTTTGCCCTGAATTATCATCTCTCATTCTTGTACCCTGGTCTGAAGTTTGCTCTCTGACTGAGCTTCAGACCCCACCTGCAGTTGTTGCTTTGCAGACCTAAGCTGGTAATTTGCCGTCTGCTTGTAGAAATAATTACACAGCGTGTGAGTAGCCGAGCACAGGAGCAGCTGTTTTTTAAACACACAGTATGCAGGTAGAAGACTTTTGCCTGACATACATTCCAAAGCTAACAACAGGGTCTGATTAATAGAGTTTTCAGTGCTCTCTGCAGGGTCCTAACTGGTAAAAGCTTATCAATTTTGAAGGGCAGCTATTTCTGTAGGGTCCTCTTAGTCGTTTGTAAAAGAAAAAGATAAAAAAAAGCCGGAATCAAACCTCGAATTCACTCAACCAACCATGTCATCTGCCATTTGATACATTTGTCCAACCAACAGTCCCAAACCAAGAGGCTTCTCATTTACAATCATAATTAACAAATAAAAGCTGCACAGCCTTCAGATCACATACAGACAGGCAAGAACCAGAAAATAATTTACCCTTGAGCCTAAAAACAGATTAGATAATAATTAAAACTTTGTGTTTATTAAGTTTGTCGACTACATTTTTGAGCCCTGCAGCAGTCCAAGTTTTTATGATTAATATTGCATTTCATTTCATATAGAAGTTTAGATGTTTATTGCAACATAAATTCCTGTCAGAATATTTAATATAATTTTTATTTTGGCACTCAGAAGGTTGCCATTACATTAATGTGACGTCCCTGCAACTCCTGTTTTTTCCAGCTGACAATAAGTGGTACCGTGCAGTGGTCCTGGAGGTCGGCGAGAATGAGTTGAGTGTCATCTATGCAGATTATGGAAACACTGAGAAGGTGCCATTCTCCCGTATCTTGCCTATCACTAAGCATCTACTGCAGCTCCCCTTTCAGATCACTCGCTGCACCCTCACTGGTAAGAAAATCGTCATTCTTGTTCCCTGAAATGATTTCAAACTTGAAACAAGTCTTTCCTTTAAATAAAATCTGTCTGTACTTCCTCATACACTTTTATTCCCCTCTTCTGTTTCCAGGTAAGGAACACTTCCCTGCAGAGTGGCCAGAGGCAGTGCATCAAATGTTTAAGAGCCTGCTGTTGAATGGTGTCCTTGCCACTGTCCAGTCCTTTGATGGCTCCGCTAACGTGCTCTCCCTCACTCTGCCTGCTGAGAGCGGCGGGGGTAATGTCACTGCCATGATCTCGGATGCACTGCAGGCCCAGGCCAAGATGAATCCTCACCTATCCACTGCTGCCACCAAGCCTGACCAAACTGACAGCAGCACATCTGCTCCTAGCAGCATTGCAGCTCTACCGGACAGCTCCAAGTCTAAGTCCATACCTGAAACACAAAAGAGTTTGGAAAATATAACAGCTACAACCAAAACCACAGAGCCGGCACCACGGACTAACCAGCAGAAGAGAAACACTCATGCAGTGTCAGTCCATGGTTGGTCAAAAGTTCCGTTTATGTCACTCATTCAACATAAAATCCATGTACAGATAATATTGCTCTGCTTAAAGCGGTTCATAAACATGCAAATTAATGGAAATATTGGCGCAGGTCATGGTTACATACATCATTGATTTTATTCTAATTGGACTGTTTAATCACTTAATCGAGAAAAACCTAAGATGGTTAATGATGTTTAGCAAGCGCTGAATTCAATCAGCAGTCATGATGTTTTCCTTTCAGAAGATCCAGTTAAGAAGATCATTGAACAAATGGAGCCGCCGTGCAAAATGGATACAAAAACTAATGGTATGCATGCCTGAAAACAACATGATCTGTGACTGCCTTTTTTAAATGATGGCTTGATAGTTCTTTTTTATACATTATGCTTTGTTCTATGACTTTTGTTTGTTTGTTGTTTTTGACTGAACGGTACTACATTTATTTTGTTTTCTTTTTAAATCTCAGACCCTCAGGCTTCTGGATGCTGCTGTTTGAGTCTGAAGGCCAAGGTCAGAGCTGGTTCCACTCTTTTGAAAACATTGTCTTTTTTTTTTTTTGATAGAATCTTTAAAGTCTATAAAGCTATAAGATAAATGATTTTGCAAGAGAAACATGGGGAAACTTGTTTTTCTTCTCCACAGATTGACCACCTGGAAGAGCTGTTGCAGCTGCAGCTTTCTCTCATCCAGCGAGTAGTGGGACAGACTAAATAAGATGTAGTATATATGACTATTTTTCTTCAGCACATTGTTGAAAACAAGGATATTGTGTTTCCAGGATTATGTTTCTTTTAAGAAAGAGTTAACTCTTAATGTGGACTGATGTGGAGCAGCCACCCAGCTTCTAATTTTATGTTAACGTATTCCAGCAGCTTTTAATTTTATTTAACCTTAATTTTAATTTTGTCTCTTTATCACTGATTTTCAACTCGGTTCATGGCTTTTATGTTTTTAACCTGTGGTTGAATTCAAGTCTCCTTTTCACTTGTAATATTTCTGGTGGTTTTCAGAATCAATGATTAATGCACTTTTTATTTAGGTTTGTTAAAGTTGGCAGAAAAACACGTTTGAACTATATTATCCAACTGTGTGCTGTGTTTTGCTGTTGTGTCATCAGTTCCTTTGTTCTGTCCTAACTACCTGCTCAGGTGGGATGTCCAGCCTGGCTGATCTATTTTGACATCTGTTTGTTATGCATAAAAGTTCTGTGACAAAAGAATCGAAAGCTAATGCTGTGTATTTATTTATTGTTTTTTATTGGGATGTGGATTATGTTTTCTCTTGCAACAAGTAATTGGGAAGTCTGTAGACAGTTTTTTTTTTGTTTTTTTTGTTTTTTTGATAACTCAATGAAGACAAACACCTGCAGCGGAGTGATACTAGTGCTGTCGTACTCTATATCAGCGCTCATTGACTGCCTCTTGTCCAATCAAATATCTCGATCAATTGGATCCGTTTCCTGAGTCCCCTGCCACCATCACAAGTCCAGTCCGGGGAAAGAGAAGGACGAATACGGAGGACAAATTACACCCTATCGCTGCAGGTACTGCAGGTAGCTACATCGTAGGTGGGCATGGCGAGTAGGCGGGATCCTACGCGGAGCAGAAATCCCAGGCAGACGAGCTTTAGTGCGGAAACAAAGCGGTGAACGGAGCGAGATAGGGTCACTTTATGAGAGAATAAATTCAAGGACTGTTTACTCGGAATATCACATGGTAAGTGGAACTAATTATTTTGTTTCCAAGAGGAGGCTGGAGATAATTAACTGCAGGGAGGAAGCTGTCACAGTGCAGCATGTCATCAGTGTTCAATATGCAACTATAATGTTTTTATTAAGTTAACCTAAGAGTTGATGGATAGCCTACTCCTATAATGTCTTGAATTTGTAAACAAACCAGCTGGAGTGACGCGGGTAAAAAAAAAAAAAAGTACATACCACTCAACAATGAACATATTTAAATAACTTTTTACTGTATGTCGAGTTTAAGTAGGCTAAAGTATGTAGATTGTGATTGCTGGAAATCTCCTACCTTACGTGGAACAAATGAAACGACGTAGGCTAATTTTGGCCATGCCATTTTAAAGAGAAATATACACATTTGTATCTATATTTTTGTGTTTATTATTAGCAGTCAAACCCAAGTTTGTTGTAAACTTACAGGTAACTAGACCCAATAAAAGCAGCTCTAAAAGCTGTTGAGTAAACCCTGGCTAATTTTGCATGTCAGGGTCATGACCTCTGATGTTGAACCTTGACCCTTGACACTGTAAGGATAAACCAGATGGAAGAAAACAGGCTAGAAAATGGTGAAAAAGCATGACACAGTCTATGCATGTCTTGAAAGTCTTTTGGAGTATTGTCTACACAAAACGTTTTCCCATGTTATTTCCACGAGAGGCTGATCTGTGTGGTTTTCAGCCTCAATATTTTACAGTTTATGCTTCCAACAACTCCAAAAGACAGTTGTCATGTGGTTGGAAAATTCTATTCTTCTGTTGCATTCAGAGTGACTATTTCAGGTGACTCATTCTGAAAGTTTGTCAAAGTGGCACACCTCCATGTACAGGTCAGGAGATTTTAGGATTTTGTGTGAAGTTGGTGCAAAAACTAGCAATCCTTTCCTAATTATAGACTCCATGTGGGACCATTTTCCACCCTGTAAAGTCAAAACAGACAGCACAACCAGTTCTAAGCCTCCCTCCTTTTATTATATGTGGTTGAATTTCAGAGTTTGCACTTTTTAACTTTTATTTCATCCCTTAAATTTAGTTAATCTACCCCAAGTTAGTTATTTCAGAACATGCCCATGATTTTGATAGTTGTTTTTTTTTTGTTGTTGTGGAAAACGTGTTTAGTCCTTGAAGAATGAGAGGCAAAAGGGCTTTAATTAGTGGGTACATTTAGTTTAGCTGGGAACAGACGGGAGCAGAGAGGTGTTTGCTGACAGAGGGAAAGTGAGGAAAACCGAAAGATGAGGGATGAACAGATCCTCAAGAATGCTTGTGAAGAAGGAGCCAATTTTGAGACGGGTGTGCGTAGTGCTTGTGTCTGTGTGTTTTATTTGTAGACATGCATGACTGCTTCCTGCTTACAAGCATGTACTGTATGTGTGTTCAGGATACAAATTCAGCACCCACTCAGGCAGTAATGAAATCTCTTGTCCCTCCGACGTACCAGTGAATCCACAAACACAGCATCAATAGCTCCCGGTGATGTTTATCTGCCCTGCGGCTTCTCACAGAGCCACTGCATGTCAGCTCTGCAGATCTGTATCGCAGACACAGACTCCTCTTAAAGAGAGGCTTCGTCCTGCACACAATTCTATCTCTGTCTAAGGAATACACACCGCTTTACCTGAAGCCCACACCCAACACACACACACACAGGATCTCATAGCCAAGCTTATCAGGAGAGAGAGTTAATCAAACCTTATCTGCAGCTTCTCAACTTGAAGTGAACAATGAACACACAAAACAAGGCAGGTGGGGTTGTTAATGTTTGATATTATCCTACAAATGATTTAATAAACAATAAGTTATGTCAGGTACACCTGAATGGAAGCTTTGAATTAAGTCCTTAGGACCTGTAAGGACCTATAATGGTTGTTTGTCAGATGTTTTTCAGTTTTGAGGGATTATAATGCTCGCTATTCACATTGCAGACATTTTTCACTGACATTACACTGAGGGTGGGAAGCTCAAAAGCGTATTTTTGTATAGATTAACCATTTAGCTCATGTTAAATAGGAGCTTCTATGAGTTTATCTTACTTGTAAGCTAGAAAGTTACTTCAGCCTTGAGTTACGTGCTACAAAGGGAAGGGGAAAACAAGGGAAGTGGTTGAATTCCATCATAGCTGTTGCTTGACTGTGGCTTACCAAAAAAAAAATTGTTTTTACGGCCAGAAGTCTTTACAGCAACATTCTCGGTTGCAGATGATACTTGTTATTAATGATAACAATCTTATACATCAGCTTTCCTCAGCTTTCATGACTTATAACCTGTCAACAGAAATACTACATCCTAAGAAAATTTGGGCTTCTAGCCCTGAGTCTGATATCAGAAGAAAGTAAAGCTTGAAAATAGGCCTGCATGGCCAATGAAAAATGTGTGATAAAGTTTGATTTGACTTTTAGGGCTACACATGTTGCATTTTCATCATGCTATGCTCATTTCAAATCCTTCTTATCATGCAGGCCTTTCATTTTAATAATTGACTTTTGCAGCAAATGTATCCACAATGCAGTGATACAGTAAACATTCATACTTGACACCCACTTCCCAGGTGAGCATCCCGTATCACACTGTGGACATACTGTTGAGGAAATACTCTCTATCTCTGCCTTCATTGTGTGCAGGTGGTGTGACAGACAATCTAGATGTTGCTTATCTATGTAACCCAGACAAAATAGAAAAGGTTCCACATGCTGATGTCAAGTATGTGAAATATCTGGGTATACCCTTTTGTAGTTAAGTGTGTTTTGGTATGCACCAATAGGGGAGGTTTAAGGGAGAATTTCTGTTCAGCAGTTTTATGAACACGAAATTCTGCATTGTCTTTGTGTATCTGAGACAAACTGACACATTTATCTCCCCTTAATTTGTATGGGTGAGGAACCAAAATCATAAACACATTTTTCTGATGTTATCTCTTTAAAAGCAGTCCTTTGAACATCAACATGATTTTGTCCCCTGTAAGTGATAGTATCACTGTCAGTCAACAAGTCTGTCTTCATTGAGTTCTATTTGAAAGTTACACTTAGCTTCTTAAACGTGGTAATGTTGTACTCAAGATGCTACTTGACCGTTTTTTCACTGTGTCAAGAAGTAAATGTAAACTCTTCTGAACATTTTCTGAACTCTTCTCATCTTAAATGAGAAACATGACTATTTCTGTTTCTCTTTAGCATAATTTTCCACGTTTTAATGAATTTTAAACAAGACCATTTATGTATTGTAAAAACTATCCACGCTAGGTTGGAAAAACATACAAATGAAATGAGTATAATTATGATCACCCTGACCTCTGATAAAGGTTAAAAACAAGCAGCATATTGTTGTATTTGAATGGATCATAAGCCTGGTTAAAAAAAAAACAGTCCTGTTTCCACTCTGGATATTTCAATAAAACTCTACTAAAGCACAATTTCTTCGACCTCTTGAGTGCTCTTTCATGTGTTTTGTTCCTTCTTTTTTGTTAAGAGTGTGCATTTATGTATCATTTCAGGTGTCCCAACATGCACCCTCTTATCCATCTCTCCCTGCTTGTACCGCTGCTGCTTCTTCAAGGTTGGTTGTTTGATTTTATTACTGTTTTGCATTCGGTTTCAGCAGAGGAGTGTACTTTCTGTACCCCTCAGGTATTCAAAGACTTTGGATCAAGGACTTTTTCAAATTACTGTTCTGGAATTTTTGTAATGTTAGCATACCACTACTAATGTTTGGTTACTTCAATATGATGTGCAGAATACTTTGTGTGAAGGATGTGACCACAAACAACTATTTACTCTGTCACCTGGTGATTTTAGACGTTCAGGTCCTGTTAGTGCTTTGACAGCCCTTTCAACACCCAGGTCTTATCACAAACTACTTTAAGAAATACTTACACATTTTGAGAAAAACATTTTGATTTAAAGCTTGACGCAATCCTCATGTCTTTGTTATGCTAAATATTCAGAGCAGCCGGCTGTGCTAACACCTACTTAGCTTAGCCTATAGCAAACGAAAAATGTTGTCAGCAGCTACCTTAGCTGTGGCACAAGGCAACTAAATCCTACCACCAACACCTCAAAACTATTTAAATGATTTATTTAGCTAAATAAATTGTTAAAATTTGAGTGGTTTTCATGTGTGCCGTTAGAATATTTATGTCGTTTCTCACCTGGTTAATATGAAGCCATGAATTCTGGGGGGTCAGCCCAATGTCCCACAGCCCTATGGTCCCACAGCCCTATGTTCCCACAGCCCTATGGTCCCACAGCCCAATGGTCCCACAGCCCTATGGTCCCACAGCCCAATGGTCCCACAGCCCAATGTCCCACAGCCCTATGTTCCCACAGCCCAATGGTCCCACAGCCCAATGGTCCCACAGCCCAATGGTCCCACAGCCCTATGTTCCCACAGCCCTATGGTCCCACAGCCCAATGTCCCACAGCCCAATGGTCCCACAGCCCTATGTTCCCACAGCCCTATGGTCCCACAGCCCTATGTTCCCACATT